GATTTCGACATTTATTCATTTACTCGATCTGTTAAAACGACCGTGAAGACCAGACTGATCGTTTTTTCACTGGACAGATTGTCCAGCTGCTCAAAAGAATATATTTTAGAGAAAATAGAATCATTAGCCAGTTGACGGACTATGTGAATATATTAGCGAACTATGGCTGTTGCTTTATACAAAATATCCAACAAATATTATACATGAGGTAATGATCTAGTGACGATAAGTTAATCAGAAATTAATATGATGGCCACTAATTAACCAATTGTTCAACAGTTCTATCCGTCACAATACCATCTTTTCTTTCAGAACTCCTATCATTGAATTTTGAAACTCTTTGGGAAATGTTAAAACGTTTTATAGCGCTTTCGAATAGGAGGACCTTATGGAACCTTCTTTGACTTTATTATGTACTTGACAAGATCGTGTAGGAGAACAGCTGATGTATGCGTTCCAATTCAGGACCAGTGTTAGACAAGGCTGTTTATTCTCCCCCTCGCTCTTTCTTCTGGTGGTAGACTAGATTATGAAAACCTACGAATATCATGAACAACAGGGACCTAGTCCTTCTATTCTATTCACAGCAACAAATACAGATGAAGATGGACAGTGTACTATTGGGCCTCAACATTGATTACGGTAAAACCAAGATCCTGAAATGAAACAGTGAACAACAGTAAAAATGGAGAAGCTCTGGAAAAGGTGGAAAGTTATACGTACCTGGTTAACATCATTAATAAACAAGGATGACCTAATAGATTAGAAAAGCAAACGAGGGTTTGCTATTAGTGAAGAATACCTAAAACTTAAAACAACTGTCAGTCAACACATAAGTCAGAATTTTCAATTCAAACGCCATGACAGGTTGATTAGGTAGTGTTGAAGCTTGGAGAATTACTACAAACGACTTCAAAAAGCTACAAGTATTTAAATACTGCTGTTCACACAAAATATTCCATACTCCTTGCCCGGACACCATCAGTAATAACCTACTCTTCCAGAGAACAAATCAGCTTTCAGCTGAAAAAAGAAATTAAAATAGGCTACACTTTAAAGAAATGATCAAATCTCATCACGAAGAAAGTCACAACTTTGAATTCTAAATGAAAAGAAAGAAGTGACAGACCAATGAACTTATTGCTCCAGGTAATGGAGGCAGACTTCAAGAGCATGAATAGCACTTCTGAGCAACTGGGAAGGAGAGACCGGGAAAATGGGTTGGAGAGCTTTGGTCGGCTGTCTACTTCCCATAAAGGGTAACAGTCGTAAGTGAATAAGTAAGTGAGCATAAAATGGGAATTCTGGGAGTATTGCTTATCCTTTTATGTGATTAAACCCACAGTAATAAACGAAGGGATTAATATTATCATTTTATTCATAAAGTTCCACCAATTCACGATTACACTAAAGTAATGGTGAGATCACTATAACCATTTTCAAGTTCGCTTTTTATCCAACTGTTTTAAGTAATAGTATTAAAATACATTTTTTGAATTTCGGAGTTTTCAGATCTTTAAGTGAAACCATGAAAACGAGTTTTTTGAAGGATACAATGAATTCTAGCATTGATATGACTGCGGTTTATCATCAAAACTTTGTTGCATATATATTTGGTTCTTCAGATTTCTTAGAATCTTTAACAGCATGAGAAGAAACCCAGAACGGATCAGTAATCACATTTCAGTAGTCTATTTTTCTAGGGCGATTATTAAATAACGCTTCCAGATTAAATGAAACATCAGAAGTTTTGAATCTAGTTCACAACTTTTCATTGTGTAGACATATTTATTTTCAAATGTTACACTGCTAGGAGAACTGTTCATATTAAAAGATATGCAATCTCACTTTTCGCGATTTTATTTATTGATAGAGGTTTCCCAACTCAGTTTTGAAAACCATATAATATTTTAGTACATGTTAAGCCTAGTACATTTTGGCAATTTTGCACTCAGGTACACAATTAATCGTACTATCTTCAATAATTCGGTGGTTATATCATAAAGCGATGTAACTTTAATGTAAACAACTTATTGTCGGTATTAACGATTGAACTAGTTCATTGATAATATTTTGATTCAATATCATGAGAACTCACTTAAATTTCGGTTTATGAACACTTTATTATTTGCTTCCTTAATAATTAAAGGCATTAAGATTTAGGAATATGTGTAGGCAAGGTGAACATTAAACCACAGCTAAACTAATTCTGAAGTAAACTACTTCTGAGAAGAATTCACCAGTAAAAAATCTAAATGCGTTACCACTTTCATTCAACAGTCAGTGCTTTTATCATTTACAATTTATTTTATTCTAGGTAAAAACAATTTCACCTAAAATAGTCGCGTACTGCTTTCAAAGTTAATCAAAAATGATTTCTTTTCAAAAGGATTCTCTGGCTTCATCAATTCAGATGTTGTAATAATGAATTCACTATGTCGAGATTTTTTCGGATTTTCTGGACACATTCCACTGTTTTGTAAAATATGTGTTTAAACATATAAAAGGTACAGATAATCAAAATATTCTTCAACTTTATTTCCATTACTTATACACCACTTCACATAATGTATTCAGACAACTGTTTTCAAATAGAAGAATGTCCTTTACACAGTAGATGATAACAATCTTCAACAGATTTGAAAGTAGTACGCACTGATTTAACATGGTTGTCTGATTAGCGTCTTGTCTAAAAATGCGCAGTAAATATTGACTGACTTGAGGATAAATCACATCAAATAAATTTGAGACAGTAAATGAATTTTCAGAGTTGAGTTCCATTGAAGTATAAAAGATGCGTGATGCATTCTCTATTCACGGCACCTAAATGAATCTATAGCAATGATACGATTAACATCGAACTCGATAAAATAAGGGAGATACTGATCAACAATGGATATCCATCTAGCTATATTCATTGATAAATATCTGCACCTGAATAACAACGTGATTGTTTATAGAAACAAAGAATACTGTCTTTATGAATATCCAGTTTAAAGGATATATTAATGCAGAAGTTCCAAAAATTAAACTTTCAAAATCTCTGATAAAAACATTCATTTTGGCGGAAATTTATATTGTCTTCTCTAGTCAGTCTTTGATTTTTAGTAGTGCGAAAAACAAGCTCCTCTTGGGATCAAACCAAGGTGCATCTGTCAGCTTGCTTGTTCATTTGGAACATCATATCGCTCTCTCAAAACAAGCTATTTCGAAACACGTCTCCCGAAATTTCCCTCTTTAGTCATCTAAAAGACTACAAAATTCAGTCAAATGTTCAATCTTGCAACATCTGGTCACTTTTCATCACTATGATTCACCAGAAATCTCTTTCGAAATCATTCATTCAGTGGGAACAATCGGTTCAAAAGAAATATGAAGTAAACTTTATTAATCCTTATATTTTTGAATGTTTCATTAGGTGCGTTCACAAGTAGTACTGACTTAACTTTGGGTCTGTTTTTAATTCTCTTGTATGGTATCAGTTAGAACCGAGAATAAATGCAGAAGCTTGTTTGTAAATTGTGATAATGTCAATTTATGAAAATCATACCTTGTATCTTCATTTTACTCTTGGGAATGCGCTGTTAAACTATTCGGACACATCAAGATGAGAAAGCTCGGATTGTAGTCCAAACGAATTCTAATTTTATTTTAATGACTTGGCATTATTCGGGAAATCCAACTCCACTAGTGTTCTGAATGAGCAGATAAATATTCAATACATCGCTGCTTCCCTCTTGTAACATAAATACTTTGACAAACATAGTTGTTCCCAGCTATTATTCACAGTATTCAGTGCATGTTATTTATCATAGTTAATTAAATATAGGTGATATTTCAGTACAAGTACGTGTTATATAAATATGATTTTGGAAGTAATAACGGTTTACAGTTATACGCAACATGTTGGGTATAAGATTTTAAGGAGTATAATAGTTAATTCAAAAAATAAATAAACATATTTTCCAACTCTTTCAAAACGATTGGTACCATTGGTTAAGTGAACAGTGCCTTTATGTACTAAGCAACTGATATCCATATTTTTACAATGTTGATATAACTACTAAATAAGTTTATATTTCGTTTTAGTTTGATTTTAAAGGGTTATATTTCTATATTGTTTGCAACATAGACATTTTTGTGAATTTCAATGGACTCGAAACAACAATTGCTGGTCAAACTTAAAGTAGATCTTTCCGTATTCCTATAAGTGTATATTAAGTATTTCAATTCGGTTATACGACCGCTTTAAACAGAAATAATCAGTGCCTAAAGCCATTACTTCTGAGATAAAAATAAAAATAATGTATGGTAGTAACGTCTTGGTTGATAATAAAAAGTAATGTTTAGGTGGATTTCATCACGAACTAAAACTAATTAGTACACCATTGAAAACTATAGAGGACTAGACATCTATTTTATCCTGCTCTAGGCCTTCTTAGAGCTTTGAACCCATGGCAGGGTTCGAGCCTTGGAAATTCAAATCTCTTGAGGAGTTTATTAACTTTAGATTATTGTATAGGGATTCATCCAATTCCATCAGTGGAGGAAAAGTAGCTGAACATTTCACGAAACTTTCAATGATATTATAACATATCAAAAACCTGCTTTTTTGGGAAGCGAAATATATGGGATAACTTCAAAAGGAATAATGATGTAATGAAGTAGGGTTAAGTTCACGAACAGTGAACAAGTAATAAGTCGTAGTAAAATGGACGATGAGGTTATAGTTCAGGATTTAAATGACTTGATGAGTATTCTAGTACATATTTGTTTTTGTATATCCTAGACATGAACCAAAAAAAAGAAATTCCGTCTTAAATTATCTTACAGAGAAATGCCTATAAGTCAATTTCCAAAGATAATTGTGGTACGATATTTTTTAAACTGAATAACAATAAAATGATAATAAAAAATTATTATTGCTAAAGTTTGAAAATAATCTAAAAGCGTTCGACAGTTTTCATCAGAAACTCCTAGACAATATATTAGTTGATTTATCAATCATAACAATGTTCATAAAATCGAGTTGCACCAGACTCATTCCATGCTAAACTACGTCTTACACCATGTCGAACTCTAGATCCAGTTAACCATGATGAATGACCGTAGTAATCACGATCAGTACTGCCCAAAGCAATGGCTGAACTAGCCATTGTCAAACGTCTTGCCATATTTAGCATACTTGTTGTTTCGTGCTTATGTGAGGATAGTGTTTGGGGTTGAAAGGAATTTCTTGATAAGTGCTGTAATGCCATACTTAGACGTCTTGCTTGGATGTGATCGATGCCTATGACAAGGGGTGTATTTGGTGATGTAGTTAACTGTACAGCAGATGACCCTTCAGGAACTTTTAACAAATTGCAGTCGTTATTAGTGTTACTAACACCTACTTCATTAACAGTAGTGCTGATGCTTGAGGTGTTCAACTGGTTCGATGTTCCTATTGTCAAAGATGGGATTAGGGTTTTATTTCCTGTATTCGGAAGATCTTCAGCAGCTAGTGCGAATGGTACAGATTGTGGATTAAATTTGTTTGAACTTGAACGTTTAGTGAAGCACAACTGAACTAGACAACCAACTGATGTCAAAGATAATATGCAACCAGTTATTAAGATATTCCTTATATGTAATAGGTATCCAACCAGAAGAAATAAAATACTCAAGATTAAAGTAAATAATAGAATTATTCTTACTGATAAAAAGCAGAATATTCCTTTAAAATATTTTAGTTTTTTACGCCTTGATGCTTTACGGTGTATTTTCTTCAATTTCGATAAGTGAGCTTCAGGAGATACAGAATCTGTGTACTTTTGTGATGTAGAGCTTTCAGTCACGGAGGACATAGTCGATGAAGAGCTGCTGTAATAGTTTTTACTTCCAGCATTTGATGAATTGTCCACAGATTTAGTGTCAACAATTTCGTGATATGATACATTTCGCTTTAATTTTTGTTTTAGAATTCTGTTATTATCCGAATGATTTCCACAAATATTAACGTCTTTCTCACTGTGTGGATTATTTTGCTGTCTCACATTTCTAGGTAAGTGCTGTTTCATAATACCTTCATCAATTCTATTGGTCATTGATAGGTTTTTACTTTCGTGTTTAAAACTTAATAATTTAGGCACGTTTTGTTGATGTTTACCTGAAGTAGTTTCAAAGTCATTGTTAGATTTTTCCGTTATTCCATTGCTATTTTCCCTTGGTATTTCGGTTTCGCAAGTATGTAATTTGTCTGCTGACGATAGATTTTCTAAATGATTATTACTAGGGTTTGTTTTAGTGAATTGAAAAGTAGATTTCATTTTCAATAAATGTGATGCATAATTACAACGATTCTTGTAGTCATTTTCTTTTCATTATTTATAGACAAATCGCCAAAGTCTTCCCTTCAATCAAAATAAATAAAACAATTTGAAATTATATTATTACAAATGTGGTATAAAGATGCCAATCAGATTCCTTTATGTCCATCAAGGTTAAATTGTTATGATAACCAATCAGAATAATGTGTAATATTATTTCGGCTAATCAACCAAAATAGGAATTATCAAGCGTTGTGCGTCTACATTTCTAAAAGGAAACAAACTAATGTGGTTACAAACATCGTAAACTATATGGAATGGTTATTCCTTAATTTACCAATAATCTTATTGCAATATTACAAGGTAGTTAAATTTATTATGTCATCACAGTAAAATATTTTATAACCACTTCGTTATTCCGAAGCTAAATAAAATCTGGATAATTAGAATGATAATTGCCGGATGATTTCTAAATTCGCACATATGTCACGTGTCTAAAGAACCCTCATCTGACCACTTTTCCCGTTTTGCAAACATCGCTGATGAATAATATTTTATTATTTTAGGAATGCGAAATATAAATGATCCATAAAACAAATTAAGAACAAAAATGAAGTCCTGAAACTATGGATTTAAAGAAATAAACATTAGCCAGGTTACCTGCTAGTATCTATTCTAAGTAAAGAAATCATTGACCCCGGTGTTATGGGATAATGTGTTTTACTTGAAGTTATTGAACCTTCAAATGTCACCTTTTTTTGGCAAGGGATGTTTTCAGCACACGAATTAAGGAACGTTAAAAAAAATCATTTTTATGTCCCGGTACTTCGTAACGTTCATAGCGTTTGCAGATTTTCAGGTGTCGAAGATTTTTAAGATCTGGGAATTCGTTGTCCGATAAATATATGATCTTCTAAAGGGATATCATGAAAAAGCAAATCAAGGAGTATTAAACTACATTTTACATTGAAATACGGTACCAATATCATTGTCATTATTGTTATATCTTAGAGAAGACATGAGTACGGGTAACTTACGGGACCTATTAATGGACGATTATGCTATATATATATTCTTATTGTTTAACTATTGAGTGATTAGATTATGTTTATCTATATTCATCTTATTATAAGCTTCATTTTGACCTATGGATTATTGTTATACTAATTACTGTCCCTAAATTCTGTTCAGTTTATTGGGTATTGTATCCCACGTTCACAGCCACATTTGGCTTGATCTTGTACAAATATTATTTCCTATTTTATGGTGTGCTGCGGTCTGGTATATAAACCGAGCATGCTTGAAATAAATGATTTGCATGACAGAAGCTGCGACCGGTGTTCTGGACTAACTTGGAAGGTCTAGGAGGAGAAGGGATCAATAAGGACGCTAGACTGCTCATACTGGTCGAACATCATTGATTTGGCACAGTGTTAAGATTGGAAAAGTCGTATTCCGATCGATGGATAATTCACTTGATAAATGCCGGACATAAAATCATAACGAATGTGCAACGGCTTTCTTTTATTAGGGTCATAACAACTATTAAACTCGGAAAATTCTTGTGAATGTTTAAAATAATGAAAACACTTCCATTTTAGATAGTATCCTTTTGAAATTTTCAAATATTGTTGAATGAAAACTGGAACAAATTATCTAAATAGATATTACTGTTAATAGTCATTAATTTGAAAATAAACACAGCCTATGATGTGCTGCACCTATGAATTCGAATTTAACTTGTACCACAGATACTATTGACTTAAGCATGTACCAAATATGAACTCTTGAAAACTATGTTGGTAAATACTTTAAAAAACAATGATTTAAACAAGTAACTTACAATCATATTGACATTACATGAAGGGAAATTGTCAGTAATTTTGCTTGATAAATGTTTTTTTCTAAAGTTTGTTTTATTTTGAACTCGATTCAGAATATTGAGTACTCAGAAGAATGTGTTTAACGGTTTGGAGTTTACAATTCAGAGCACTAAGTTTCAGTTATACAACAAACATTTTAATACAGAGAAGTTTTGCAGTTGCTAAATAGCCGTGTGCTCTAGACTAACATTAAGTAAACAGTCTTAACTACATAACTAACTCAAATATATTCGACGACATCCCACTTAATGGAAGTGACACACTGATATTTAGAACTGTTATAAACGAAAGCATGCCGTCGCCAATTGTTATAAACGTAAGGAGAGGATACTGGTTATAACTCTAGGGGTTTCTGGTTATAACAGTCCTTTCACTTTCTACACGTATGTGGGACGTTAATTTACCTTAGACGAATATCTACACTAGATTCCCACCCAGTGTCTATTCTACAGGACTTCAACAGAACTCAGATCAAGAACACGAGATTAGCCTGACTATAACGTCAATATATTTCCACACCAAAATCCGACACAAAGAACAGTCAATCAATAAGTGTCCATCAACAAGGAACAGTCCATACATAATAAGGATAGGGGAATATATATATATAACACATAACACCCCTCTAATGTCTGATTCATCGAGACAACCAATCATTGTCATTCTCGCCCACACATCAAGAACCCAGATTTAGAAAACTCATGTATATTTAAAATGATTCTTACTAAAACCTTAATCGAACCCAAACGACCTAAGATGAATCAGATACTAAAACATGAACTGATAAACAGTCAAAGCAAATGAAACAAGACAAAGTAACTAAAACGCGATAAAAGTTCAGTTATAACACAAAGGACCAAATGACAGTGAATAAATTCACTTTGTATTGTTGACTTGCGTCTTCCCATTGATGTTTAGGACTACGATTGATCAGTCTCTTATTGGCATATGTGCATACTGTGCGTATTGCCTCGATATAACCTTAATTCACAAGCATTATAAGCGATGATGGATAGTGGCCAGCAGTGAAACCCAGGACGCGCGTCTCGTCCTATATGGGACTCTTCAGCTGGATGTATCTGCATCTCAGAGCTGATGTTCACAGTAAGTAAGTGCATAACACTATGGCATTTGAAGAGAACGGCACTGCGTTCAAATCCCAGAATGAACATCAAATCTGAGGTGCAGGTACATCCAGCTGACGAGTCCCATATAGGATGAGACACACGTCCTGGATTCCACTGCTAGCCACTACCAATCTTTGGCCGTAACTAAAATTGACGACGATTAAGTCATTCATAAGAAGTTAAAGATAACCAAACACAAATGAGATTAAATATGGTAATAGTAATAACTTATATTGAAACAGTGACGTAATAAATACATGTACAGAACAGATTATAAATTTAAAGGAGGAAGATGCTTGGAAGATAAAAAAATATTTGCATAAATCTAGGCAAATGAATGAGCTGTCTGATCAATTTCCATACAGACTTACATGATTATTGTCAGTATCTTATTGAATGAACAACATAAACTTCCATTTATAACTTCGATCTGTTGTGAGACAATGGAAGACGGTGGGTCTAGAGGTCTGGCGTTTGCACGCGAGACCGAAGGTCCAGGGTCCGAGTCCCGCGGGCGGATTCGTGGGTGCGCATTGCCAAGGAGTTCTTCACTAAGACGAAACTACAGTCTAGCACTGCAATGAGAGTTTACGTTAAATAGACTCATGAATTCAACTATTAAATTGCTGCAATCTCCTTAAATCCCCATTTTGATTTATGTTTGACAAAAGTTGCAACTTATTATTATTAATACTAGGAATGGTAATGTCCTTCTTACCTCTATTATTCTATGGAAAGGGTTTGAAATTTTTAAATTAGGTCCGTAAATACATATCTAAGCCACTGTTTCACATAAAATTGAGCAACACATTTCATACATATTGTAACAACGATTCGTTTCCTTTTTACTCACGAATAGGACGTTCATTTACCTTAGACGAATATCTACACTAGATTCCCTACCAGTGTTTACTCTATAGGAATTCAACACAACTCAGATCAGGAACACGTGATTAGCTTGACTAGAGCGTAAATATATTTCCACACCAAAACCGACACAATCAAACAGCAAATGGACAATCAATTAATAATAAGAACAGGGGAATATATAACTATCTAACCCACGAATCTGACTAAGCAGACAACCAATCATTAGCATTCTCGCCTACACATTATATATATATATATATATATATATATATATATATATATATATATATACGATTGTACAACTTGTTAATAAATTCGTTGAAAAGATATCCCTCAGCTGAGCTTCGTGGTTTAAACATTTACAGCTAATTGACTGTAGTTTGTTTTGTTAATACATTTGGAAAGTTTAGCAACATATAGTTCAACACTAAAAAATTGTGTAAAATGTGTTTGCAAATGGTATGATACAAACCTTTTTGAAAACAAACTATTTGGTGAATATTCACTCAACTTATGCAAACTGGCGCCCTAGTTTCATATTATTGTCTTTCGATCCATTTTTAGTAGCCTTAATAACAATAATATGCAGCAAACTACAGAGATACGATGCAGGGTTAGAAATTTGTAATTATTACTCTAAAATACCTTTTTTGTTACTTATTACATTAGCTAAGTACACATAATGAGAAAGCAAATGAAAAAAAGAAACGATGGTTTGCTTAGTGGTAAAGCTAAGATGTCTGTTTTTACACAAATGTTAACTGTTGTTTTTAAACGTAAAAATGATCTGACGAAGAAAAGTTTTATTTGAACAGTCTTCTATATACTTTAAAGTTATGCATATATAATGACTTGACAAAGAAGGATCAAGTATTTTGTGACGCTTGAATGTAGATACATTTGTTTTAGGTATAGATGGTTTCTCGTACACACGTAGATGCACATATACATCAAATTGAAAATAGTCATACAGAATATTATCAGCATTATTTTCATTATTAATTTGTATAGTTTATTTGAACAATAAAAATCAGAAAAGAAATTTTTTAGTAAGTCTAGTTCATTTATAACTTCTTTTTAGAACTCCTACGTGAATGTCTGCAATTGGGAAACTACTTTATAGGAATTAACACTTACCAAAAATGTAATCAGAATAGAATGAAATTACATTAATTAAACTTGTGTATGACCTACGATAACCCATAAATTGAATACCTTGAAGTTCATAAAATGGTAAATGAATTCGCAAGGCTAGATGATGGATGGAAAAAAGTGAAATTGAACAGTGGAAAGGTGATGAATGATAGCGGAAAACATGGACATTTCTGATATATCATGAACAGACACCATATCTTGGTTCGATCACACCTAACTTTCCTATGGCCTACTCCTACATTAGAGATTGTAGCACGTTGATGTAGTCAAAGTACGGGGATACATAAACAATGGTAACATCTAATGTCTGACCTCAATAGCACTAACTCGAAAATCACGAAATAAACGAGAAATGCTCTGAACACACAAAAGCCTTCCTCAGACACCAACCTACCAGCGCTGATGAGACTTCCAAGATAAAAGAAATGATCGGTATTACTCAACTACATCACTCTTTAGCTCTAATTCAGGCGTTGACGAAGACAAGTCCTAAAGAGGGTTCTGATAAGCACATCCTGTAAAAAGTCAGTTCAGTTATTTTGAAAGGATAAAATGGAACAAGAATTTACTATGATTCTAAGTAATTTATCATAAAATATTTTAGAAACTCAGGAATCTGACAGTTGGAAAAATACCTGATTTATCGTACCATGCATTTACAGATTTTTTATCATAAACATGGAAATCAAGGAACTAAAAGAGTAACAATTAAAAGCTTCACTGTGGCTAAAAAGATTCGTGCTTACAAAATGAAATGCTTTGCCACCATCATTTCTTTCTGACAAAAATAATTAGCGGTTTATTCAGCAATGAATGTTCAACACAATTTGAAACTCTGATCACGAATCAGTATATAACTAGATAGACATGTATCCTGGTTATGCTGATTTCAATGAGTTACTTATTCTTCTATTCTTGTTATCATTGTGAATGTGTCGGATTGTTGTCGGCTTTTATGGTGGAAATATATTCACTTTCTAATCAGATTAACCACGTGTTCTTGATCTGAGTTGTGTTTAATTCTTGCAGAGTAGACACTGGGAGGGAATCTAGGGTAGATATTCGTCTAAGGTAAATTAACGTCCCATTCGTATAGACAAGGAAAGCCTAGCGTTATAACAGTAACAGAGGGTAAGAAGGTTTACTTAGTGGATTCAGTAATAAAAAATGGCTAAACATTTATGGTTCCAATAATCTTATTTCTGGAATAAGATGCACTTTCAGGTATAAGAACATTTATTGTGTTTTCAGATGAGAAGTAAGTATCCATGATGAGAAAAAAGGATGGAAGTGTTTTATCTCGTGGACAGTTTGTGGTAGTTTATTCCAGAGCCTATAAAATTTCCTGGTAAAATAATTAATATAGAGAAATTTTTTATAGTGTGTTTGTTTCACTAATGACAACGATTAAATCAAGCAAGCAGAGGGTTTTCGACCCCGTTATATGTGAATTTGCCCATAAGAAGCGAGTGGTTAAACATATAGAAAGCTTTAGAAATGGTCACAGTGTCGCATCAAGACTAGATATCCCCAGTTACGTTGAGTAAAGACTAAATTAAAGAAGTCAAAGTGAAAAGTCATACAAGATAGACTTTTAAGAAATCCATACTGATTGTATAGGCTATGACTTGAGCAAACTATACTGCTAGAGTTCAAGGACTTATGAAGATCAAAAATATCATTATTTTGATAAGGTGAACTCATTTGCTGAAATTGACCTGTCAAACAGTCACCTGCTCGTTGGAGTTAAGCTAATAGGGACCTATTAGTTCGTCTTGCTTATCGGGAAAGTGATACGAAAATTTATATCGTGCAGGTTCGGTATGCAAAACTTTTAGAGGCAACTTAAGACACGGTGGCTCCTTGGAGTATGTATAATTTTAAGCCTGACTACACGAAGGTTGCGGTGACCGTTTTGTGCATCATTTGCTTTGATTTAGAAATTGGGGCTTTGACAAGTCGCCTGTTTTTCGTGAGTTCAGCTGAGATGATGTAATGGTGGATCGACTAGCTCTTGTCTGTGTGTCCATATAATTACCCCTACGATTAGTAGGGTCAAACTTGGTATCAATGAGTATATTTTCTTATGGTTGAGCCTTTGTAATATTTTTGGTACTAGTTTTGGAAATAGACACTTCGTATAAACTTTTTCGCATATGGTTTAGACTTCGTAATCTTAATAGACTTTTGAAGAACTTTCGCTTTACAACTAGGCACTTGGATATGCTCTTCTGTTAAATTGGGAAATAGCATACCCATGTTTACATGAGATATGCATTGGTTATCTGAGGTCACTACAGGCTTAAGTGACAAGCTAGCATTCTTCATTGAAAAATTAGAGTATTGGCTGACATGAGATAAGTCAGCGGCATCAGTGCGTCCTACTACTGTGGCAACGAGATTCGTTGTATTTCCTACGTCGTTATTTTCATTTATCATACGCTTTTACATAAGCCCTTATTTGGTAGTTTTATCTGAGCATTCATAAAGTTAGTAAGTGTGCAGACTAACCGTTGGGATTCCCTCAGTTGTTGAGCTAATAAATGTGGATCGAATTCAAGCAAGATAGGGCACGGGGGCCCCTAGTACTTTTTATTAAGGCAGATACATTGAACTTGAAAGTTAACTGCTATCAGTATCGGATTCCTCAAGGGTTTAGGGGCGGTTTCGCCAAGTATGTTATAGACAATCACGTTATTTCGAGAGATCATTCGCTCAGTAACCTCGCCACCGATGAAATCGATAATAGATGCTGCTTTGATAGTGTCTTCAAGTACCGCAGGAACATATCCCTCGACAATAATAGCTCAAGGGGTGATGATGCCTTTAGTCCTTGCTTTAGATTATCATGCATTGATGAAAAGCTTGCAAGTGACCCCATTTTGGAATGTGTATCACTTAATTACTGATATATGCTGTCTGATTCATACTTAATATAATCGATGCTAATAGATCGTGACGTAAAACACCTTATTAAACTAGAAAATAAGTTATCTAGCATGATGTGTAGGATAAGTCTGGTCTGAACACTCTGTTTTAATATGATGTTACTGAGCCTAGGACTATAGGCAATAACAACATTTTTATCATCCGAGTATTAAGGCTTTACGGGCTTGTTCATTAGATAGGTGACCCATTTTTATGTTAGTGTTGATACTAATGCTAAATATATACATCATATAAGACACAATGATAACCACATACTTTATATCAGACGTATTATTGTAGTATGATCACTGCCATACACATGAATTCCTCACGCAACATCTTAGTTAATAAATAATTTCATCTTCTCACAATCCGTTTTCAGAATCCTATGGTTTTTCAACATGGACTGATGAATTTTAATGTATTTATTATTTAAAAACTAGTCATTATTTTAGGCTATTCCTAGTTGAAGAAAGACTACAATATGACAAGGATTTATTTTATGTTCACTTTCGATTGCTTCGAAATTACTGTGAAAACCAGGTTTTAAAAAAACTACCTTTATTTAAAATATAAGGAAGAAGGAATTAATAATATTAATAAGGTCGGCAAGCAAACTACCCCACTCACAACATTTCTAACACTTATGAAATGCAATTTGATAATTTATGTAGATAGATTTTTTCTAACCCGTAGGCAATATATATTTCGTAAGATGAAAACCAATAACTAGTCAATAACATTTGTGATTAGAATAATACACTTGTTTGTTTCCGTTGTACAACTATCTTATCTTCATGTGAGATTGTTGGTTATTTATAAGAGGATCTCGGCCTTGGTGATCGTAAACATACTTCGAGATTATTACTACCTATTTCAGGCTGGTTACATAAATCTTGTCTATTAATAGAATCTACATATTCGTACAATAAACCATTATGCTATGGAGGATTGGGTGTGGAAAATTTCGATTCCTCTTGGTCTTAACACGGTTAAAAAAGTTTGCATCCAAAGCAAAACGATTTTAAATAATTCATTCGTGTTTACCATGAGTCTAAATTACTTCAAAATAGAGGTGAAAGGATATCACTGTTTTGTGATAGGTAGATCCAGAGTATTCTTCAAGAAAAGTTCAGAGAGGTCCTGAAAACGCTAAGAAACATTTTATCCAACAAGCATAAACAGAATTCTCTCGGAAACGTCTAGAAATATAAGTGACGCGTTCAGTCAGAAGATTTATCTATTTTCAAACTGTTGTCACCTAATTATGACACTTAAATTGCATTAGATCCTAGTTATCCAAATCTTCTATAGAACCCATGTTAAGTTAATTTTGAATCACATAGTATCTAATTAACGATATGAAAACAGGCTAGACGTGTCAAGTGAAGTTTACTTTTTACTAACTAGATCACTGGATATGGTAGTATATGAAATAAAATATTATGTGATTAACAATTTGTCTGGACCGCTCAAACATTACTAGCCTACGTATGTGCACTGTTTAGGAGTGAAAACAAATGAAGGGATATGTATAAAAAGTAGCTTTTATTATACACCATAAATACAGCTGTTTCGGTGGTAAACAGTAAGAAATGAATATGAAATACATCATTCAAAAGTCTCCATTACACATTGGTGGTTTAATAGATGCACGATATACGCGATTTTCAAATATTGGATGCGAATCATTTTGATTTTGTTGCTGCTGCGATACTGATGAATCTTGAGGTAATATGAATTTGAGACGTTTACGTAAACTTGGTCGAAGTTGTGGCAGTAGTGGACGAACTTGATCGAGTACGCCATTGCCAACGTACATATATTTAATATGATACAACAGATCAGCTATTGTATCGACATGTACTAATGGTACACCGGTTTCCGAAGGTAAATGTTCGCCTAATTGTTTTGAATTACTTATATCCATTGAAATTTCCGAATGATGGGATTTTTGATAATTTGATTTAGCTAGAATAGTATCAACTTTCCAAACAGCCCTGTAGAGTTCAGCAGTTAACTAAAAGTAGAAAAATTATGAAGCATATAGGATAACCTTTAGTTTTTATATAAGTTAGGTGAGTATGAGTTAGGTGAAGTCACCGGAAATTAAATGTCTGATAGTGAACTAATTTATTCAAGGGGTATTAAGTGGTCTACTGATACGTTACGGAGAAAAAAATGACATAGTATATCAAACTCAGTAATCCGCTACAGGTTCACCCAGTCAGTCTGGGTCATACTTCCAGTATGTGAGAGCTAGTGAGATTTGCTGACTGCTCATATCAGAAGCAGGTCAATGTAGCTATGATATTGATATAAGACTTAGTGGATAATAATTGAATAACTCAGTGAAACAATGTACAATGATCTATCTATGATGTCAAATGGAAATATTCGATATCAACCAGAACTTTCTAGCAGAAGAGATTACAATTCCTAACTAGAAAGTTGAAAAATTCTATCGTTTAAACGACCAGGAAGGAATAATGAGCAAACAATAAATTTTTGAGTTTTGCAAGTCATCAATTCACTTATGATTTCAATACACAGGTAATCGAAAATGATAAATCAGAATTATTCATTATCTTTTCTATATTTTGTTTTTTTTTTAAAGGTATTGCATAAATTTGAGCAAGAAAGCGATAACACGTCTACAACATATTTGATGTTATCTTCAAGAAAAATAGATACAATTCATGGAAAGATAGCTTTCTACTTAAACATGGGGCATTCCGTATATGAACCGGCAAAAAATACTTACATCGACTAATTTTGCTGGACGCTCTGAGTGCAAAGATCCCATTAATGGTGCTACCAGATAAAATGCCATCAGTAGTTGAGCTTCAGTGCGTAATTCCGGTAAGATGAGATCTGAGAAAATGCTTTGAAAAAATTGAATGAAAATCAGGATGCGCAAAATCATACATATATAATAAAAGCTGTATGTTAGATAAAATTCGCCTGTAACTTTTCTAGGGTTACTGCCGATCCCAAGCCCGGATAAAGAAGGAGGGCTGGAAATGGGGTCAGCAACCCCATCCCGTAAAAAACAGCCTTGCTAACAAACGCTAATCATGTTGGACAGGTGTACTTTAATGTTAGTAGGACTGAGCGAAAAGCAAGTAACCGGAAAGCGAACCCCACTAAGTTACAAGATAGTATAAATATCTCTTGGAATACAAACGGAGAGCTAAAAGTAAGATCTAAAAATATATAGCACAGCGTAAAAACATGAATTGAAAGGAATTGGTGTTCAGTACTAATTTGAATGAAGTACACAAGTAACAAATCAACTAAGTAGATGCAAAATAATGTTCGTGTTTAAGGGAAATAATCCACTGATAAATGTTAAACGGATTGATTTTATTCAAATATTTACTGGTTAACAAAGTATTTCCAAAATAGCTGGAGAAATATACAATCAAAATGTTATTATGAAATGATGATCACTGTTTACCTAACATACGTTAATACTTCTGATGAGTACATTGAAAATGAAATCACCAGTCAGATTACAACAATAAGCATCGAATATGGTTTTTAGAATGAATGGTTTCAACTCACTTATGCAAAAGACAGAAAACCAGGCGGTAGTTTGAGGGTCAAACCTTTTCTACACATGAAGTTTCGATAGCTTAGCTACTTTCTGGTTCATCAACAGTAAAATTTTATCACCTGTCATTTACCTCTCGCGAAATTAAATGCAAAACACAGAGAGAAGCACATTTTTATCCTCATCTAGAGCTCGTACACTAAAGGTATATAATCAACACACTTTGATCAAATTTTGAAGTTTTCCCATCATAACAGCTAAAAAGCAGTTGAAGAATAACCTGGGATTCCCAAGATTATATATTGAGAATCCCCAGTCTGTAGAGTTAACCATGCTGTAAGTGAGATGAATGACAGTTACGCCATGTCGCGAAGTTAGAAAATGATCACCAATCATTACTCAATGTTACGTAGTTATCAATGGTTAACCGATGACATCTAAGTAGTTTATACTTCAATATATAGTATCCACATGACACCTATAAATCTATACTGTATACAGTCTAAGTGAAACTAATCGCGATTCTTTGATTCGGTTCACAAGGTTTAAAAATTAGTGTACATACAAAGTAACAATTTATGACCTTTGGTTAACAAATATTTCCGAGATAACTACAACCAATTTAATTTTTCGGATACCATAGAACAAAACATTGTGTTGATATAATGAGCTAAGAGGTAAACATACCATTGACCTGAGAAGAAATATCATTTTGTCTGAAACGTTGAAGAATCTCTGAACTGATTGGCTACCTCTACAACTGTAACTCATGAATGATACGAGAAGAAATTCAGCCTTATTTGACAGTTTTTTGAGCAAAATTTTGCGGGTAAATGATAGCTTCGTTTTCTTATTATGTGCACTTGGTTCGGTTGATGAGTGGTTGTCATCTGACATGCACACCATTACAGTCATAGGCTCCATTTGGAAAACAATCAGTCCTACAACTATGCAGGTCATTCATTTTAATTTCGTATTAAATAATTACTTAGCCACAGTACTAGACACCTTTTTTCAAAATGCTGCTCTAAGTGTTACCGTCAAACTGGAGCCTGCTAATTAGTTGGAATCAAGTGGTCAAGATATGATGCTCAATATATATATATATATATATATATATATATATATATATATATAAACATTATGTGGGAAATAGGCTTACCCAGGTAACGACGCTAAATGTGATGTGTTAGCATGCGCCCAAATTGAATGCCATAAATTAGCCTTAACCAGGTATTCCATCACATCGGACGAAAACTCCGAGTTATTGAAATTATCCTTCAGAGTTTGGTTTGCTTCTGTATTTTGATGTGACATCTCGATAACACTACAGCCACCATTACTAAGTGTATCAACCAAATCAGAGTCTGTTTTCTGATCTAATGGAAGATATTTTTCAAAGAAATGTAAAGCGACTTTTGGTGGTTTTAGTAGTGCACTATTTTCGTCTTTAAATGACGTAGCTTCGGATGCTAAAGTGACGTTATCTACAGAAGTCAAATTAACATCCAGCAATTTTCTATGACGTAAAGCTCTTGATGAACGACGCCACTTTGTATTAGTATTATGATCATTAGTAGATTTTACATCAGAGATGCACGTGAACATATTTTCTGGATCTACTGGATTCGATTCAGGTGTGGTGTCACAAAGAATTGGGTCATTGAATAGGGTGACGCAAAATTTAAACAGAGGAAATCGGTAAACACTCTGAAAATAAAAGGCATTAATCACAAAAAAAACGAACAGTGATATGATATTTTTTTGAATTTAATTTAATAATAACCAAATTGTGTACAAGCTTAAAAATTTTCTCTAAATACACAGTTTGGACGAAAACAGTTTGTCCAATGCCCGTTTGTTCACCGAGTACAATTTCGTAAAGAACTGTAAACTGATATAAATTTCTTATTTACATGTTAAAATCTTCAAAATGACTTTCAAATTTTTAACTTTAATTGAGATATAATTAAAGTGACTTAATAAATACATGGATGGTATTCATCAGAGGCTGATTTTAATTGGGGTAGCATTAAAAACAAGGGAGAATTAGATGAGTGTTGCATCATGAACGGTGAGACTGTGTAAAATTCAGTGGTCTGATAATTAAGCGGTCATCGAGAAATATGAAAGCATTCGGTTTAGTCCTAGATGGGGTGGGAGGAGAGCAATGCTGAAGAGTTCAATATTAGGACGAATCAGCCGACCTACTGCCCTCTGGTGTTTAATAGTGCTACAACAGATATCGATATGTGACGAATATCGTCTGTAGATTAAAATATTTTCCACAAAACCACTTCATCTAAGCTTAATGAATAAGATAGAAAATCAACTGACTAGATCTTTAAAAAAGCTCAGAGATCAACAGATAATTCCACCAGACATATATGAATCAATCAAGCCGACAGGTACTCATTTACCTAGGTTATACGGACTACCGAAGGTAAATAAACCGGATATCCCATTGAGACCAATTTTAGACATGTACGATTCCCCTTACCATATGGTAGCAAAGTGGTTAGTAAACGTTTTAAAACCACTTCACAAACACCCAGTAAAACACAGTATTAAGGATGTATTCCAATTCGTCGACAAGATTAAAAACAAACATGAAAGGTCGAAAGATGATGTCCTTTGACGTAACGTCATTGTTCACAAATGTCCTGCTCAGAGAGACTGTAGAATGTATTTGTGAACAGCTTAGAGAACAAGAAATGGAGACCATCAAAGAATTACTACTAAAATGTATTATGAATGTACATTTCAAATTCGATGGTGAAATCTACAGACAAATAGATGGTGTCGCGATGGGTTCACCCCTAGGTCCCATATTGGCTGATATTTTTCTCGCGAAACTAGAAAACGGCCCACTCACACAACAGATTGAAAAGTTCTCACTTTATTGCCGATATATGGACGACACGTTCATCCTATGTAACGACTATACTAACTTGATGGAGACACTGCAGCTATTTAATACAGCTTATCCGTCTATAAAATTCACATGTGAGGAGGAAAATGAAGGTAGGATCGCTTTTCTAGATGTTCTCCTTACAAGGAGAAAAGACGGTTCATTAAGGAGAAATATAAACAGGAAAACATCGTGGACGGGTCAGCATACTAACTTTCTTAGTTTTGTTTCTCTACAGTGCAAAAGGAACCTAATTAAGACATTACACTATAGAATCAAGACCACATGCTCCTGCGATACGGTCGAAGATGAAAGAAAAGCATTATACACGACACTGAGAGAAAACGGAAAACCAGAGAAATTTATAAATAAAAACATAGCTAGTAGAAGAGAGCATAAAGAATGTCTAACCATGAATAAGAAGCCTCTGTATATAGATCTACAATTCAGAGGTGACGCACCTAGTGAAACGCTAAGACTGAAGCTACGAAGATCAATCCAAAGGACTTCGTGCAGATAAACTGCAACTAAGTTTTACATACGTCCAATGATCACGCCGATGTTGAAAGATAAATTGCCTAGACTAGCCACTTCGTTCTGTATCCAACAATTCAACTGCTCCTGTGGGGCAAGTTATGTAGGTAGATGTTCTAGGAATTTGTATATTCGGGCTCGTGAACACCTCCCAGTGTGGTTAAGCAAAGATGTAGTCAAAACGGTTAACAGCTCCATTTTAGCCCATTTAGTTCAGACGGGAGATAGAGCCAACATGGAGCAATCTTTCACAATAATATATCGTGATAACAGCAGTCTACCTAATTCTGTCAGACTGAGAATCCTGCAGACGGCTGAGGCAATTGCTATTCGGATCAAAAAGCTAAAGCTTTGCATCCAAAAGAAATATGTTCAGCCGCTCCTTTAACCCTGGCCAACTTGTTAATTTGATTGATGTTCATTTTTATATCCTAAACATAATTTATCTACTTATCTTACAAGTCATTATTATTATTATCACACATGCTAACCTTTTAGAGAAATTTATTCAGCATCCACCCCTATTTACTATATCTGACCTAATTCATATTATTCTACATATTACGTAATTTCTGATTTGTAATCCTATTGTTCTATCTCACCCTATGTCAACTATATTTATTCTGACCATTTATCTTACGATTTTATTTCACTTATAAACGGATTCAAGTTAACACTTCATATTAGTCAGCTCCAACATTAACGATTCGATTTTATTGTATATGACAAACAACACTCCTTGATTCACATATTACAGTTTCTAAAATGATGTACTCTGACGTAAACTTGGTCAATTTTTTATGGATTTATAATTGTAGAACTTGATGAGAAATTATTGAAAAGAATATTCTTCGTTCATATAATTGTAGCTTGATGAACAGCTGGTAATTTATGGATGATGATGAAATTCGCCTAACGAGTGCATCCACTATTTGTGTTCTGCCAAATTATAATCCTCTGAATTATTCATGTCCCAAATTTATTTCACTAGATTATACTACTTGAATAACATCTTCAAACCCTAATCTTTCCGATTACTGTTTATACTCTTACTACTTCTACCACTATGGGGGTTTGAATCGATGACTACATCTCTGTGCTAATGTGGTATGGCAACTCGAACTGATGTACGTACATACAAAGTTCTATGTTGTGAGTGACTGAACGAAAAAACTTAGTGGTTTGCTTGTTGGAGAATAATGACATAATTTCATTACTACTTATTCAGATTCTAAAGAAAATGAACAGCAAAAAGTGTCTTCACTTGATAGAAATTAATCAGTGTCATCATTATGTTGTATAAAATAATACAACTAATACATTAAATTTGGTAGGCTCAACAAGATATTAGTTGAAATAAGAGTGATAATGTGAGACAGGTTTTAAATTGTCTGAACTAAAAGGGACTAAAGAGGGAATAAATAAAATTTTCGTTTTGACTTTAATTTCCAAGCGTGTACCACGTGGCTCCTGTTCATGGAAAACTTCACATACGGTTGAACTGAAGTAGATATATCCAACTTAAGAAAACTGTTTCTCGTCTTTTTACGATCAGATTATCACTCATTTAAATCACCGTAATCTTACCGGTTTATTCGAGCAATTTTATTGCAAAATAGGTCCTTCTGAATAAGAAGACTGTGTCACTTTTGTAAATCATTCTAGGTAGTTAGTTAGTCAATTGATTTACTGGCAGATACTTTGAAAAAGTCGTCAAAGATCAAATAGATGTTCGATTCTGAATGTTGGTTTAATATTAAAAATAGATTTTCAAAATCATGTTGCAATTCTCCCAAATTTAAATTTGAAAATGATTAACTCACAGGTAAAATAACAGCTAGGGCGCCAGTGATATTTAGTAGTTGATTGAAATACATATGTTTCGCACTAATACAAGGAGAGTAAAATATTTTTTTCACATAAATCAAATGAAAGGAAAATAACAAAATCCAGAAATCTCTGGGAAATTGAAAAGGTAATTTGAAAAATTAAATAAATGTATAGTTCACTACTGACACTATTAAGATATTCATCCTTCTATTTAATGTGTGAAACTCGTATTTTCAGTTATCTGAGTTTGCATGTTTATTGCTGGATGATTCCCATTTCAACTCCTCCTACATAAAATAATCCATGTATAGTATTCATATCAGTATTTCAATGACAATAAAATGAATTACTTTATTTTCCTTTAAACTTGTTGCTTATTTTGATATACACATATATCAAGGTAAAATTGATCTTAACTTGTTATCAAATGGTCTGTGAATAAAAATGATTTTTTTAACGCCCGTAGAGATGAAGGGATATATGTGGATGTGTGTACTGTGCAAGTAGTAATGTCATGAGACGATTTCAAGTCTTTTCTATCTGTCTTTGAATGTTTTCCTGTTGGAATAAAACAGAAAGTCAAGCAACGGAATTGAACATTCTTTTATTTCGAGCCCACGTCTTATCTAGCTTCAAAATAATCATAAATAACTAGGTTTCACAGTAAAACAAATATTTTATTCAAGTTTTAAGAATTTCGTACTGACATTACTACCGCACACTATAAATTATTTCTTAAACGGTTCGATAAAATCAAGTATGAGATTTTTTTACAAACAATTCACTTCTAATGGACATACAATCAAAATATACATAAATGTGAAGTAAAAAATAAACAGATTTTATACTCAAGACAACTGACTAATTAGTTAGCAGATCAGATACAACGGATGTAAGTTCACTAGGCGACATAAAACTGGACATTAATTCAATTGAAGCAGCATATAATCCGGCAGTTTGAATACATACGGACTCTTCATAATTCCAAATTCTCCATGCTGCTGAATGGCCATAAATTCCGTGTCTTTGGTTGCCTATAATGGAAGAGAAAGAGGATAAATCTGTTTTATTAGGTTGTATTACATGATTAATTGAATACTTCAAATCCATATCAATTTGTAATATGAAAGTAAGCAGCTGCAGTTATTTGTTAGCTATGATAAAAACATTTACATCGGTGTATTCCTGTGCTTCTATATAGTCAGTACAAAAAAAGTTAAATAATTTTTCCTTAAAATGCAAAACAATCAGGACCTACCACATTTCTTTTTAATTTAGGGACCAAGAAACGCTGAAAACTTTCAAATGTAAACGTTTGTATTAAGTAAACATTATTCCACAGTAGTAACGACGGTGAGACACAAAAGCTTATCATCAATAATCTTTCATAAGAATCTTCATATACGAGGACAAGATTGATTCCATCTATATTTTAATTTCGAGTCGAACAGTTGAATTCTATTACTGCTTGCCATATAAAAACTTATCTAAAGCAGAGCATACGATACTTTATTCAACCATTGCTTATGAATATATCAACGGATACTTAGCCATTTACTGATTTTCTTTTGCTTGTACCGTCAATCACCCATACATTTTCAAGATAGACAGTGTACCTCATTCGTATTATTATTGATAATTATATTGATACGCAAAATCCGTTTAAAGCAAGGTCAAACTGAGATGTACAACAACCTGTAATTCTCCATCTTCAATTACAGTTAATCAGAAACCTAACGAAATCTATTTCCCAAGTGACACGAGCAATCGAAAATTTTAAGCACAAATATAAAGGATTTACCAATTCACATGTACGTGCCGTAGCACATACATTGGAAGAACTGAGAGAAGAGTACAGGTTCGCATTTCTGAGCATATTCCGAAGAACTTGACGCTGCGAGGGACTAAAGCTTTTAACAGTGCAATAGCTCGGCATCTACTTGACACCGGGCATACCGTCGATATTATGTGCGCGTTTAAAATTATCAATAGACAAAGAACCACTGCCACTCTTCGCTTTGCTGAAGCCATTGCAATTAAGAAACTGAAACCGGACTTATGCATCCAAAAAGAGACTTTAATAAACTTATCACTACCCTGGTAATCCTTTTGTTTCTGTTTGTTTTGTGTTTTGGTTATTTTATTCATTTACTTATTCTAAGATAATTTTACACTCCCCCCCCCCTATTGCCTAATTCTTAAAATAAATTTTATTCACACATTTCCACCACCTGATCCTCTTAAATCATCTTAACTTTCCAAACCCTATTTAATTATTATTACGTAATCTACCTTATCATTAGTCAATTCCATTAATCTCTACAATTATCACACAATTTATGAACTTCACTAAATTATTACACCACCCACCCTGGATTAACCTCCCTCTTTTGACCTCTGACCTGTTTCTAGCATATATATATAGTTATTATTGTAATCACGTTATTTACACTCATTTATGTCAATTGTTTCACACTATCTTCATGTAAAAATTCTATCACAATTTTGGTTTGTAAGCAGCTGACGAGAAACCTCGAAATAATATGAATTCATACTATTCTGCATCAATGTTTGTTCTTGCTTTATTTAAATTCATAAAGGGAACCAATTGCATGAAATTTCTATAAAGGATCTATTTCTAGGAAATTCTTTGAAGTGTCCAAACTAAATGGTAAGATTACTTTCCTAACAAATACAATTAACTGTATTTTTCAGTCAAAAGGAATTCAAAATATGACCTAGTATTCCCTTAAATTCTTACATGAAACCTGTACATATTGACTCAAATGCAATAACTAAACAAAAAATGTAGTTATGTTCGGATCACAGACCCGATAGACTTATACATATTTTAGTAACAGAATTTGAAGTCAAGCATAATATGCTTATATTCTAACTTGTCCGAGTAGAACATCATATTATGGACACAAAAATGTTTACTTACTTTTACATATTGGATCAATCAATCCAAATAAATATTCCCAATTGTATTTAAATATATTACAGGAATACCATGTCATAAACATTGACCTGAACTGTGTCTCAAATGATTCTGGATTAAGTAAGATATTCATAACAGACTGATCTGTGTTATCATGAACAATATTACAATCACTACTAACGTTACTGAGATTTCTACATATTACGTCGTAAAATACTTCTGACTGCTTTACACACAACAGAAGATTATTCCACCCTTGTTGTGTAAAAATACCATTTACAGAACTATGCTGTTGGTCAAAACCTTTTGAAGAATGATTTAACGCTGCTTTCATAGCTAGCTGCTGGTGTTTACTAATTATGCAGTGAACAAGTAACTGACAAAATAGACGGTCAACAATCCATGGAGTTTTGTCCAAATCTGATTCAGATGAAGGTGAAGTATCAAGGCATTTAGTGTCTGACAACTGTAAATGATATGCTGGATAGCCTACATTTGATTTACACAGTAAACCTTTCAAAGTAATTTCTGCATGATCATGTAACACTGTATAGCAGACGTTAACTGGACGTCCTGAAAAGTAAATTTTGGAAAAGGTATGTTTTTATTAAGTGACAAACACAGATTTAAAGTCGAATTTATCTTTACAAATATGTTTAACTCAACAAAACAGTCAATAACCTAACTCATTTGACAAGCGGATCACTAACCGCGACGAATAATCAGAAATTCATTTTGGAGATTCCATCAAAGTCAAGTAAACCACTTATGTGTTGTTCAGTCTGTGAATAAGTCTTAGACAACAATAACTTTGAAAAAAGTTTCAGATAACCTGAGGTTATACCTAAACATCAATTTGAACAGACACCTAATCATTTCAGTTTAGAAAGTAGGAAGTTATAAAAACGAAAATAATTATCCAATAACATTTGGTTTTTTGTTTCACTAAACTAAATCACTATTCACAAGACATTAAGTTAACATCACGAAGTAATACGTTATAGCAGATCACCTACAACTGAGTTTGTTCATATCTAACTTATTTAACGGACAGAGTCATTCGTATAATAACAACCTATCTATACTATTGTACCTTTATTATTCTGGCACTTGTATGGATGTGTGCTTGAGCATTGCATACTACCTACGCATATATTCATTCTGCTGGTCTTACTATTAGTCGTTTAATTGATTTGATGATTTATTCATTCTATTATGTATGTATATGTACATTTTAATCCTGTTCACTGACCTGTTGGCTCGCACACTCGTTTATTCGACTCACACGCTCAATCGCTTGCTTTTCGACACCACTATTATTTCGTGCTTGCTTAACATACCTGTAACTTTGGCAATCTGTGCCAATGATCAGTTGTTTCAAGTTCTATATTGATCATTAGGTAAAAAATATGAACACCTTTGATTCTAACTTAATATAACAACTATAGACAAACGAGTACATGTTTGCAACAAACCTGAGTCGCACTAACAAAAACGAGATTGCGTTTCAGTGAAAACTTACTTTCATAGTTGAAACTATGAGTCAAGTGAAGCTAGACCACTATGGAAAACCTGGAAGCACTTACTTTGTTTGAACATACTTCCCACTATTTCCTTTAGTTTCAAAAAGAAATAGTTAAGCAACACATGAAATAAAGATGGACGAATTCCCTGCTTCATGATAGTATAGAATTTGTTACGGACATAAAATTTCCAAGATATGCGAAACCATGTACAAAAAAGTATTTCCTCCACAATTAGATAAGGGTTATACAAGGTGTTAAGAAAAAATATGCTTCAGCTGTCACCTGATTCCCCTTTTAAAAAGAGAGTTGAATCACACGATACAGAATTTGTTGTTTAACAATGTCTTCCTTGCTAAATTGACGTTAAAAAACAAATCTTCTGAAGCTACAATAAGTAGACTTATCTCAATGGCCTTCAGAAACAGTGATTGACTGTGACTTCTAATTCTTAAAAAAGGCACATAGATTCATTAAAAAAATTATTATTATTATGATTATTCATTACTATTATTATTGACGCCTTTATTTAATATTATATTTTGATATAATATAGAATTCTCCGCACGTTTCAGCGAAGAAAGTTTTCTTTTTGACAATATCATTTTCTGAAGTTGCACAGTCGTACTACTTTAAAAAGTATGTATTATTTTGAATAGAAAAATTATACCATGAGTGAATATCAAGTCTATGACAGAACTGATTCATGTTTCCGAAATCCATAACAACTCGATATAGGATAGAAATCCACTTTTAAGCACACTAATGACACGAATAAAAAGGAAAATCCCAATAAGAAGTATGGGGAAAAATTAAGAAATAGAATTGGTTATTAAGTCAAAAAGTATAAATTGAAAGTTTTTCTCCAAAAAAAATGTTAACTTACTGTGATAACGAAACAAAGGAGCAATAGCTCGGCAAAATGGTATCAATAGAACAAATGGAACTTCGCACATTAAGAACTGCATTATTACAACTTCTAACAGTGGTAATAAACGTAATAACAAGTGACCATAAAATACAGGTAAATGTGGAGGTTTGTCAGTTTCCTCCAATGAGTCGTTACTAGTATTACAAGATATTGTACAAGTTTCTGGATATGTAATCCATTGATCAGGAATAATTTCATGCAAAGCACGAATGCATGAAAACCAATCACGACTAGACAATGGGTCAGAATGAGGTGACTTTCTCTGTGTATTTGAATCGCTATTATTAGGATTAGTCTATATTGAAGATAAAAGAAATGTTGAGAATAGTTTTAACAATTTAAAATATGTACATACAAGTGAGACTTAATTTTTGACATCCACTACTACAAATGCAAAGAATATCATAAAGTCGGGCGAAATTTCGGTAGTCACGATAGAACTTTAGTACGTACGAATAACAGTCTAAGATGATTGAATGCAAACTGAATACCCTTTTTATTTTATTTTACAAGTATCTCATACACTGTATGATGTAAAGGCCATGTAATAATAACGATATGTTTAGGAAAACATCAAGCACTTATAGGAACAATAAACAACACCCCAAAAATGCCATGGTACGGTCAAGGGTAGGGAGAGTCAGATCTCCATCACGAAATGCTCTCATATGGTCACGCGTATACAACCACTATCAGGAAAGTCCTAATCACTGTCTTCTCGCAGCAGGAATGTTATTTACGAAATTAAGAAGACAAAAAGTGAATTTCCAGCGCTTTAACTGGGTTGATGGACACAGTGGGTTCACCTAGGGGAGTTGGGAAACCTTGACTCCAAACCAATGGTGCACATGGGCTGCAAGATCTTGAAGGAACAAATGGCGTATGAATCAATTGTTAGTAACCGGCTACCATGGGAGTGCATCTTCTTACGTTGCTCCACTGCCTTGTGGGTCAGACCTTTAGGTCGAAGGCTCCGGGTGTGGCTCCCCAAGAAAACCACCTGCTTCGGTCTTGGCACTCGGGCAGTATCACGGCACATATACAAATCAAGTGACTTGTGTGGCGCATATGTATTCGGTGCTCCTTTATACCAATATTTATGTTTTCAAATAAATAAATAAATATTTATACATTATGACATTAAAATTCAAAACATAATGAAAGTAGACCAAAATTTTATCAAAATTATGTATTATTTGACATTATTCCATACACACGCTTCCATATGTTTTCCAACCAATACACATCCTAAAATCCCTAGTTTGTATTTCTACCCTGAATAAGAATAACATTTCACATTGAAATCATGATAAACAAAACTGATCTCTATTAGAACATGTAAATAAGTAGGTTGTCAGCGGAATGATCATAACAGTAATAAAGTATTGAGCGAAAAATATAAATCAGTCTATTTGTTTATGAACTCGTATCGAACGAATGAGACTAAATAACCGTTCCTATTAATTAACTTACATACTATCTAGAGTTAAAATAGAACGCGTGAGGCTTAAGCATAATAATTCAGTAATAAGGTATAAAATGTTATTAAATTATTAAGCCACTAGTTATTAGTCTGATCTGTTCTATAGATTGGGTAGTGAGAAGCACTGATACGGAAACAACACACATCGAAACAAATAAAAACTTTTCCTAAAGAAAAGAATGACCTCATATTTTTTATTCAAATAAATTATTCCACTAGTGATTTGGTCCGATTGCGTAAACAGATAAACAATGATTCGATTCACAGTAAGAAGTTGTGAATGTTGGTATCTTGTATGCATGAGCTATTGGGAATTGAAAAGAAGAGAGAAAGAAAAGCTATGACTAGGTTTATATTAAAAAATTAAACATTTTAAACGAAAATCTCTAGAGAAAAATTATTTACTTATAATGGCGGTTATCAAATTATGCTTTTTAGGCGATGATAATGATTCAGTCGTTTGAGAAAACGTTTTTTCCAGCTTGGTCATAAAGCAATCAGCCAAGAGAGGGTCCAGTGAGCGACCCCACTGAAGCTCCATCAGTTTGTCTATAGAGGTCGACGTTACAATTGAATTGCACACTTAAATCTCAAAGAAGATGAACGATGAGCTTATTATCAATTGTGGCCTCTACAAACTTCTCAGACCGTCTGGTTCTGCTACAGCAAGACTATACGGACTATCGAAAGTTTATGAAAAGGATGTTTCCCTAAGTCCCATAGTTGATACGAATAACTTTTCATATCATTTGATTGGTAAATTATTAGATGAAATTTTACAAGCTGCCAGAAATCACATTGAATAATTACAACTCCCTTGATTCATTTTGTTAATTCAATTAGAAATATCATTATGTAAATGGTAGCAAAAATGATCTCATTGGATGACACTTCTCCCATTACAAATGTTCCACTCACATAAACTACATGTTTCTTATGTGACTATATTGAAAATAACAAACTCGATATTCGTATCCCAAAACTTCATCTAAAAAGCTATTTCTACCTTGTACTGTCAATGTATAATTCAGATTTAGTGGTTTCCATTTGAAAAACAATGATGAAGTTTACTCACAAATCAGTCATTAGAATATTGGAATGCCATTTTACTTTCATCATCAAGTATTTCTCAGTACTTACATGGAAAACAAATGACTTTTGACTTTTAACATAACATGTGTCCAGTAATGAGTCTTCAAGACTTAACTATCTCATTTACTAAGCAAAACATCATCAGTAAGAGTTGATCGAAATTCTGGAGTCTAGAGTAAACTCTAAACAATGCTACCACTCAATACAAAAAACTAATAAACTAGAAATCTAGAATAAGTCGAATATGTGGTTCAATAACAGTGTGAATGTCGGACGTGCTTTACAATAGAATATAGTAATCCTAGACACCAAACGATGGATAGAATCATATTAATAGGACTGGTAAACCTTGGATTTAATTAGGAACGAAAAACATTTCAAGTAATTGAAATTCGGGTCCGAACGAATGCAATTTCGAACTTGGGATTCAAGTACCACACATCATACAAAATAAGGAGGCATATATAAATTGTGTCATAAATATCAAACGGCGACAGATTTGCAAAGTATCAACTGTTCCTTGAAATGAAAAACGAAAACAATTCAGCTCGTTTCACTCACAATTAAATATTTGAGTCCAATTTTATTTACTAATTGAACAAAGATTGTGAGTAAATTTCACATATGATCAATTTTCTGTGACAAATTTCTCCAAAACCTATACTTAATAAGTGAATTATCTCGTATTTTTCATACAAACAAAAACATTTAAAAAAAGTCAAATATTGATTGATAAAAGAACAGCAACACTTCTATTTAGTAGTATCTAAAAAAACGATAATCCCAATAACTCCCTCTGCCACAAGAGGTTAAATATAGTGGATCGAAATAACAAAAAAGCTTACCAAGAACAATAGAAATCGATCTAATGGAACAACATGCCAACGTATACAAAAATCTGACAATGTAGAAAGACACTATAACGGAGAAATAAACATGAAAGTATAACATCCAAAGTGGAAAATCAACAAACAAAATAGTAAACGGAGTTAAATACATAGATAAATTATCGAGGCATCAGAACATCATGAACAAGGCTTTATTTAGTTCATTTGGAACTGGAAAGTAGTGTCTTTAGTCCACGCAAAATAAATAAGCAGCTTTTTATTAAATGTATTCTTAAAATAAAAAGATAGCTTTCTAATGGACATATATAAAACGGATCAAACGATTATAAGAATTAAACATTTGTAAAAGTTATTTTCAAAATTTGGTTTATCCTCAATCGATTGTAATACGTGAAATAAAAGATTGATTATGTCGGAGAAAACGTCATCCAGATGAGAATTATTCCAACTATCTATTTGAACTGAACTTTATCAACGAAAAGGAAGTAGATAGGACATAAGTAAGAACAAAGAAAACACCATGGAATATCCAAAACATAGAAATTTCGTTTTAAATAAGCACAAATAATTATTTTACAAGCTATGAAACTCCGATTGATCTAACTAACCTTTTCGGTTGTAAAATTCACTTGTGCAGTGAACGTCAAAGAAGACACTATGTAATCACAAAGTATACGAAGTTGTCGATTGAGTAATCTGACAGACATGTGGTGTAAAAGACTAATTAAAATAAACAGAAATAGAGTTTAAAACTACCGATTAGTTTGTAAACATTCAATGATATATTTATGTAAACATTAATTTTCAGGACATTATAGTTGAATAGTAGGCAGATATTATCCAAGTTGATACGCAGAGTTTGCGTACCATGTCAAAACATCTTGAATACTATGTAAAACTCTGGTTAATTTTTGATCGAATTCACCAACTGTACAGTATATTTTGATAACTTGTGGAACCTTCAACATAATGGACCACAACTGGTGTGCTTGACCATTGAATTGAAAGTCATTTGCGTGAAAGAATACTTAATTACCTGTGAGAAAATCCGACCTAATGGACTTAGTAAATTTACAGTTTCAAAAGCAATAAACCGGTTAAGAGTAACAAGCTCTCATAGGTGTAGTTACCACTTATAATGTAGAAATAAAATCAAGCATAGAATATAAAAGGCCTACATACCTCTCTTAAACTCATTAAAACCATTTACTACTCTATACACCTTCATTAAACCAAATGATTGAAATAGAGTGGAAGAAACAGAAATTTTATAGGAAATCGACAAGGTAATTTATTATTTAAAGCGGTTATAAATAACCAACTAACCTGATTGGTTTATTCGGTATATTTTGATATTCCATGAAATACCGAAACAATAAACTACATTTCAATCGCAAAACAAAAACAAAAAAAACAGTTTTGAATTGCGAAGAAGAAAGTAAAAATAAATTTCATGTGATATAATGTTAGTAGAAAGTTAATACACAAAAATTGTTGACGATCAATTTTGTCAATAATAATCATATTTCAAAAGACACTGTTCCAGTATTTAATTGCTGGGTCCTATGATTTATCTTCGCTTCACTGTGGGTAGCCAGACAGACTACATGCGAAAAAACACAATTGGAAGACGTGAGAACGAATCTATTTTTGGTTAAAATTTTTGAATAAAATTAAACCAGTCAATAAAACTACAACAGAATGGCAAAACGGATACCCCATCAAGATTCCAAAGAAAGAAAATCTGAACAAGTGTGAGAGCTACAGAGGCATCACACTACTGGCAGAACCAGAATGGTTTTCAACAGCGTGTTGCTGAATCGGATAAAGGACTAAGTGGACGTCCAACTTCGAGATCAACAGGCTGAAGTCCGTAAGGATCGGTCATGCACAGATCAAATCGCATCACTACAGATCATCATTGAACAATCAATTGAATGGAACTCGTCACTATACATCAACTTCCTTGATTATGAAAAAGCAGTTGACAGTGTGGATAGGAGAACACTATGGAAACTTCCTCGACAATATGGAGTACCTGGGAAGATCGTCAACATCATACGGAATCCATACGACGGACTACACTGCAAAATCGTGCATGGAAGACGGCTGACAGATGCATTTCCAGTAAGGACCGGAGTCCCAAAAGGCTGCCTACTCTCCTCCTTTCTCTTTATTCTGGTACTTGACTCGATTATCAGGACTTATCAAAACATGCCACAGGAGGCACGGAATACAATGGACAGCTTGGATGTAACTAGACGATTTGGACTTCGTCGATCACCTGGCCATCCTATCTCATACACATCAACAAATGCAGGTCAAGACAAACTGTGGCAGAAGCCTCTACATCAGTAGGCCTCAACATACACAAGGGAAAAAGCAAGATCCTCGAATGCAACACAGTGAACACCAACCCAATCACACTTGATTGAGAAGCTCTGGAACAGGTGGAAACTTTCACCTGCATTGTCGGCATTATTGATGAACAAGGAGAATCTGATGTAGATGTAAAGGCGAGGATTGGCAAAGCTAGGACGGCATTTTTACAATTGAAGAACATATGCAACTCAAAACAACAATCAATCAGGACCGAAGTCAGAACCGTCAATACAAATGTCAAGACAGTTCTATTGTACGGAGCCGAAACTTGGAGAACTGCCACAACCATAATCGAAATGACAAGGGCATCTGTAAACAATTGTCTACACACGATACTCAATGTCCGTTTGCCAGATGCCATCAGCAACAGTCTATTGTAGGAGAGAACAAACCAGCTTCCATCTGAGGAGGAAACTAGGAAAAGACGTTAGAAGTGGATAAGACACACATTGAGGAAATCATCAAACTGCATCACGAGACAAGTACTAACTTGGATTCCTGAAGGGAAACGAAAAAGAGGAAGACCAAAGAACACACTGTGCCGAGAATTGGAAGCAGACATGAAGAGGATGAATAGCAGCTGGAAAAGATTGACCAACACAGATTTGGATGGGAAGTGCTAATGAGCAGCCTATGCTCCTACAAGAGGGGTAACATGCGTAAATAAGTACAAGTGACGCAAGTTGGTAAGAGTAAATCTAGTTTCCTGAATCCGTGCCGACGTTTCGTCAGACACTAGATCATCACGACTGATGAGACTCCAATGATATGTGAACCGGTCGATGTGTTTAACTGCTTCGTATCATCAATTCAGGTCCTGAAGCAAACTAATCCTAAAGTAACAATCTACATTTGGAAGGACACACACACAACTGTAAAGAATTGCCAGGGACAGATTTGGATGTAGAATGCTGGTGGGCGGCTTATGTTTCTCCAATTAATTTGCATTATTCTGCCACGTTCGTTGTTCTTGATTTATTCAAATGTAAAAATAAGAAAAGTTGCAGGATATAACAGTTATTTCAACAATTAAAAAGTCGACGAAACTCACCATAAGAACATATTACTCCGACTAACTGCATCGCTCCATTCAAAATTTCCATCTAAAATAAAAGTGAAACAGGAACGTGAAAGGACATGGAGAGTGTCGATGTGTACTTTCTGCATACCCTCTGATGCTAAAACAATAAGATTTATGATTTTCGAAATCATGAAAACAATAGTATCTATAATCGCTTGATATCCACAAGCAAACGATAAAGATCTCTCTGTATAAAGTTAAACCCACAGAAATACCAACGCTGTTTGCTAAAAGTAACTATATAAATTTAATTCGTTGTTTGTTAATTTTTCCAAAAATGAATAAGAGTACAGAAATGAGGAAAAATAATAAAATAATTTTAACCACAGCCAAAGCAACCATTACCTTGCGTTCTGAATAAAAATGGGAGAACAAGTCGAGGCATTTGAAATAGGTAACTAGAGACTTCTAGAAGTATAATCGAATACTGAAGGTCTCATGACTTCTAGCGTATTGTAAACCATGAAAATGTATACTATCCAGGATGGAGGGTTTGCGAGGATTGATTATTTTTTAATTTATAACACCGACTAACATTAGCTAGACAACTACTGAAAACCAAGAAGCACTGGACAGCCGCTCCCCCTAGTATTAAATTCCTCACCTGTATGGATGCATGATTCCACGCATGATCGACCTAGAACTTTCAGACCTGGCCGTGAGAGCATACTTTTTGAACTGGTGAGTTAGCATCTGGCGATTTATATTTCAAACTCCAATCAATTTGTGATACTGCCCAGCCATCCCCCAAAGCCAAGGTAAATGTCTCATTATGGACGTAGTTGAACTCCATTGACAACGATTACTCACTAAAACTCCTGAAATTACCTCTCAAGATTAGTGAACATGATTATTATCAGTAGACAGGATTCTCAGAGATTGTTGAGTTTCCTATTTCATATGAAGGACTGATCTTAGATAACCAAACCCACCGTACTAATGATAATCATGTATTCAGTAGTGATTAATTTCAAGAAGTATTTTCAGATGTTGTAGTAAGAAATCGTGACTAGTGGAGTCTAATTATGTTGGGAGTAATGATATTGGAAGATGGTTGAGCAATATCGTGAAATGTTATTAAATGTTTGGGGAATCTTCATAATAAACCAACATAAATGTTACACATATGTTTGGTCTTTTCTTGTATTAAATAAAGTAAGGGCTTACTAGAAAAAGAAGTGTACTCCTCTTGTACCATTGAACAAAGTTTAGATAAACTAATAGATTTGTCTGTATATGGCAAAGTTGATTCCATTGACTCTACAATCATGGGATCCGATGATGGGAGACTACCAATGTTAAATTCACCTGTGTTTGGATTAGTTAACTGACGTATAACAAGAATTAGAAAATCAGGCAAACGTTTTGTAATTAGCTGAGGTAAATCTATCAGACTATTTGGACCACACTGTTCACACATGGAACGAATTTGTTCCACTAGATTCGGTCGAATTCCACTTGCTTCTTCCAAATCTAGATTAAATAGAGAAAATATAGAGGACTGGTAATTTGAAGAGGAAACATTTAAAAGTCTTGAATATTAAAATATAATGAAAGAAATTCAAAGCGTATAGTACTTGTACGGTTAGAATTGATAGGACAGCTGGTTTAAAAACAAAATTGAATAGAGCCCAGACAGAGGAGCAAAGGACTACCACTTAATTTAACTTCCAGTACACGCACAATAAAATATTTGGACATCACACGGCTTAAGAAAATGATTTTTGTGCACGTGGTGAACTGACAGTTTGAGACAAGGAGTAGTTGGAACGAATGGTGATACGTGAAATTTTCTCCATCAAACGACTTCAATAGTTTAAACGGTTCTAAGATAAAGAATCTACATGTTTTTGCATGTTTTAAAAGAGAAATCGAAGGCTTCAATGTTTGTCGTCTGGGCCTAACTAAAAGAATGGATCCTTCATCCCATGTTTACTTCAGGTAACATGGCAATGAAGGGCAGATATTGATTCAATATAAGAAACACATAGACCAAACAAATTATTCAATGTAAGTCACGCAGCTGCTGAGAGACCTATCACCACCGTCGAAAACATTCGCTTTAAGTTAGCCTTGGTATATCTTTAGCAGAACCAGTGTACGCGACATTACAATCAATTTTAATCAATATAAAGAAGACAATCTGTGATGTACTATGTGGTGAGCTAAGATTAAATGATACTCAGTTTCTTAACAAGATTTGAAACATCAAATAATCCTATTTGAAATATATATACATATGGTATTTACGAGTGGTCCAAAGAATGGCACCACAATAAAAATAAAACTTTACGTTGATTTACTCACCAAAAGTATGATACATTTGCAATAAGGAGTATAATACAAAACGGTTAACTTCAACATTATCGCACATTAAGAATGGGTAACCAGGTATTGAATTCGGAAAACCCGTACTTCCTGATCCACCTGTAAGTGAATTCACACCCGTATTCGAGGATAATATTGGATCATTCGGTGGTTGTATAATACTAGAAGATGATATCGAAGTCAGTACGCCTGTATTTACAGGTATAAATGGTCGAATCATTGAAACAGAACCACTAGTTGTGTTATTCACCAAACCACTACCCTGTTGTGACATTATGTTCGAACTTTGTGGTTGTGATACACACGCAGAATTATTAACAGAGTGTAAACTGTTAGTTCCCGGTTGTGTTTGAGTAAGAGTAGAAGAGGTAAGAGCCGAACAAAACCCATAAATTACACAATCTGGTGCTTGTATGCTACGCGCAAATTTTATGATATTCCAGTCCAATCTAAATGAAACAAAGTATTTCGAATCAAATATTATTCAAAATGCATTTATGTTAATAATGTGTAATAACACAACGTCAATTACTTTAAATTGCTAGGTATAGAGTAGATGAAAAAACAGTTTAGTCATAAAAGTGGGACGTTTAATGAGACTTCAAAAGAGGGGACTAATTTACTTTACTTTCCAATATTTTCCACGGGGAATATTACCAACACAGATATCAATTGGCCGATAGTATAATGACGCCCAACTGCACCGCCTTTTCATGAAATGAATATGAATAATAAATCGTTTGTTTTTTCCCGTTTTAATTACCTATTAGGATCCAAAAATTTGATTTATCTTTAAACGTACTTTTGAGAGTACACGAGTTTGCTGTACCTTTTCACAGAAAAATGGTAAGTTTATATATATATATATATATATATATATATATATATATATATATATATATATATATATATATATATATATATATATATACGTTATGTTGCTATGATAAAAAACCAACCAACCGGTTAGTAGTCTTATCTTTTAAGGAGAGTTCCTCAGGAGCTTGTATCAATAATTTAGTCTCGCGAAAAATTATTAGCCGACTACATCGTATTGCTGCTGTTTAAAACAATTTGAATCCCGTTCGTTATCATAAATCATAATATCCAAATCCATAACACTAGAAACACTTATAGCATTTTATTGAAAAAAAATGTACACAGGAAATAAAAGTACAACTTCATGGGATTACACCATTTATGCTATTATAGGTTTTTCTCTTTTACCAATAGTCACCAATCTAAGATTATATTGAAATTTAAATCCAGGAAACATTATACAATCTTAGTAATCTAGTCTATGAGTTTTCAAGTGAGCTAAAGTAGAAACATAAACCTTTTAGTCCCGTTAAAGGTTTATCAAAAGTACGAAAATAGGCAAATCATCAAAGGGAAATAAATATCCTTACTCTGAATGCGAAATATTCCAACCACCTAACGGTCAAGTTATTTGATTGAAGAATCGAAAAAAGGAACACCTGCTTTGGTTTAGAAGTGCAACTACTATTACTACTAGCCGTTAATCAAAAAGGTGCGATTCAAAATAGATAAATAAACCTATTATTTTTGAATTATAAAAACTAAACAACGCACATCGTCGACTATGGAGTAAAATCAAAAACTACTATCAAACTACGGATACAAAGAAGGAAACATGAGAACTGATAAACAAAACAGAGCATCTGACAACGATTAAGAAAATAAGTTACGTGTATAGTATTTCTTTTAAAACTCTAATAAGAATAGATGGTTTATCTGTTTGATAATAATTTCGCTGTACATCCAGATACTGTGTGAAGCTATTGTAGATGATGAAACCAACTTGTTAATGTAGTTTTATCAAAGACTTAATGATGTGAACAGAGAAATAAAGAAGCCATGACAAACAACGGAGGCCATCTTGGGGGACGTTATTTCACTTAATTCAAAGTTTATAAAATACTAACATTTAGTTTTGTCTCTAGTTTATTCCATAAACCTCTTTCTGTTCCAAAGATATTGCAATTTAAACGTGACCTTAAATACACTATTTTTCTACCCTAATGCCCAGTTTGGACATTGTATTTTCCTAGTTGTCAACGTGTCAGGTGATAGAACAGTTTTCATCCCTCTGCCCAAGGCCGTTAGTTTTTGTCTGGACTCATGCGTTTACGGCCTCAAGGTTAAACCAGTTAGCTTGTCATGTTAAGGTCTTAATGTTGTATATTACTGGTTAGACAGATCAAAGAAGTAACACTTATCTCCAGGATACTGTTTTATCGGGAAAGTAGCTAGCATCCATCAATAACCGGAAATATTGATGAATTTGGAAATAAAGAAATATTGTTAACTCCATGAACAATGACAGATAGATGTGACTGCCGCTAGACTAGATGTTACACGAGTAAACCCATTAGTTATCCGTTTATGACTATCACTCAAATTATAACAAATCCATCAGATTAGAAAAGGGGTTAAGCCCCTGACTTGTAAATAAAGAGCTTCAGTTTTCCTAATTTATATAGTTATACCTTTTGCCATTTGAAGAATTTGGGAATAACCTATTTGCAAAGTTAAATTAGTGAAAAAGAATGGTCTATTAGAATTAAGGAGAGTTAGATCGACCTGATTATGATATGAACAACACCACTGATCAGTCCCAGATGAAAAGGTAAACTCCTATAATATCAGTCAATTTAACTTTCTCCACATTAGGTGCTGAACAGATAAACGCTAAAAGAAAATTCCAGTGTACGTGAATCGTCTTTCAGGTTCAGTATTGTAACCGATAGTGTAGAAAACATCGCTCGTGGTTTTCTTGAACTAAGCAATTTTGTACTTATCTGTACAATCTGTGCGTAAAAATGTTGCACGCAACAGTGTACATCACGCTCCAATTATAAACTCATAATGACTTGTTACTTATGATTTGAAAATCTTTTATTTTTGTAGCGATAAGTTGGCTAATGAATAAGTCTGAGTATCTGTCTTCCCTGAGATTATTGCGTAAGACACTCAGTTTTTTCCAATCATTTATGCAGAGTTTACAACTAATAAACTACGACTGCATCGTCATCCCGTGCATTGTCTCGGAGAGGTATGGATATGATTTCACAGGACGTTTTAAACAAATATGAAATAATAAAGAGTGAGGGGGTTTAATGAAGATTTTAGTAATCTTATAGTTGAATTTATGAGTCAAGTGAAGCTAGACCACCATGGAAAACCTGGAAGCACTGGAAGAAACGGTCGTCTAGTACTTCCAGGTTTTCACTGGTGGTCTAGCTTCACTTGACTCATGAATCCAACTATAAAATTAATAAAGAGTGAGTTGCTCTATTAGGTGTAATAACAATGGCACGATCACAGAATATATAACTCATGGAAAAGTCATGATTCAGAGGTCGAAAAAGTAAAAACGGTCATGAAGTAAACCAGAAACCAGTACAAGTTAAAAATGCAAAGAAAACAAAGTTTTTAAAAAAGGGATGTATGACTTACAAATATTGCAGTTCAATAGGAATTTCACTAGTCCCTCCATCACAAAGATTTTTAGGTTCTTTATTATCAAGAACAGAAGTACTCCAGTTAGACCACAATTTCATTAAACCTATTAACGAAGTGAGAGTATGGATTCGAACCTCCGGTGTAAGTATATCTGCAAGACGGAACCCTAATGTATCAAGCAGTGTGAAAACAAGTGAGCAGGAAAAGTAGTTGGAGACTTTAGGCTCAGTGGTACCACATAAAACTGCATATTTGGGTTCCGTATTTGAGGTATTGTAAGACCATAATGGTTGAAGTTTAGTTAATAAGCCTATGAAAAAATGTGAAATCTACTGTTAGGAAAATATTTTTAACTAAAGAAATTTCTGGAAAATTGGCGCTAAAAAATAAGAAGTTATTATTTATCTAAGCATTTGGAAAAGAGACACTCAAGTTTAAAAGCATATGCGGTATTAAGGTAAAACACGATAATTCTGAGAATTGTGACAATATCGTCAAACTACTGACGTATGTCTCGGTAGTACAGCTTTTGAAAGTGATTTTTTCGGAATCACAGATTAATTTATTTGACATGACAACAAAAATTGTTCGGATATCCCTACTTAATTCAAGTGTGCATGTGACCGGAAATTTATCGGGTTGTTATTAACAACAACGTACTTCTAATACGGTGGTCTAGAGCACTTTAACAACTGCTAGGAAAAGTTCAATGACCAGAATCATTTACAACTGTGTTACTTTGTTACAAGGACATAATTATTCAGGCTACAAATTCTACACGATACAACAACGATGTTATTGAGATCAGTTTCGGTAAGGATTATCTGTATTCACCTATAACACGGTTTATTTTAGCCGATAAAGCAAATACAATACAAACTACTGTTTCCAACACCAGTAAAAACAACGATGATTCAAATCATTCTCTCCTACCTATAACTATCAAGGGACAATGGGGGGTTAGAGTCACTTCCAAGGTGTGAAAGAAGAAATTTACGTCAGGAAGTCCGATCCAATTCAGATGATAGCAGTTCCAAAAAAGTTAGGAGAAAAATATATGTTTACTAATATACCCAAGTTAGTGAACATACATATATGAAAAAACCAAACAACAAACAGTCCTCACAGATATCTTACGTGAACGAAACTTATGTAAGCCAGAACTTATGCCCGGTAATTGATGGTGTTATATACTAGCGAAGACATAAGTACGGGTAACTCCAAGGACCTATTATTGGACTATTATTCTATGTATATTCCTATTGTATAACTATTCAGTAACTAGATTATCTATATCTATATTTATCTTACTATAAGCTTCATTTTGACCTATCAAATGATTTACTGTTCCTATGTTATACTCAGTTTATTGATTATTGTCTCCCACGCTTACAGCCACATTTGGCTTGGTTTTATACAAATATTATTTTCTATTTTATGGTGTGATGTGGCCTGTCTGTCTGATATATGAACAAAGTATGCTTGAAATAAACGACTCATATTGTTGAGGCTGCTATCGGTTTTCTGGACTCAAGTGGACGGGCTAGGCGGATTAAGGACCAATAAGGGCGCGAGATTACTCATACTAATCGAACGTCATTGTCTCAGTGTTAAGGTCGGAGAAGTCGTATTTTATTGGCGGATAATTCACGCGAGTTACGTCCTTGTTAAATTTGTAAGGCCATAACGAATTAGCGACGACCTTGATCAAGACATAACAATTGGCGACGGTTAGGTCAAGACATAACAGATGGAATATAGTCCGGTTGCTGGTCTCATTGAATAAATCCTTAGACAAAAGCTTAGAGTTGTTATTTAGTAAAACCACATGTTTTAATTTAATAACAGTATTATTATTATTATTATTAGTTTGTACAGTTCAAGAGCCCAAGCATGGGAAAACTGAATTTGTGACGCATATAAGTACTATAACTCATTTGGAAAATAGGTTGTTTGTGCGCTCAGCTTTGAGTGACACTACTTATGTGAGGGCCAGTGATACTAGGTGTCTGCCCGAACAGAAGTAGATGGAGCAGCGCTGGAACCAAAGGCCTCGTTAATCGTTAATCCGAATAAAATTTGAAACAAACCACTACTTTCACTTAGAGGCCGTTTGCTGAGATGAATCAATCAGCTAGTAAGGTTGAAGCAATACGATGGCATATTTAAATCGTTTCACAATGTTCTGGTGTTCGGTTAATGATTTTCATGAAGGGAATGGGACCGAATATATTATTAAAATCATATGCAATGTGGTGTGATAAGAGTAGAACTTGATAGCAAGATACCAACATCGATCTAAAAGCAAAACAATACAGAGTGGATTGAAATATCCTCTGGGTTAATTAAAACCTATGGTAAACTATTAGAGCGACTTCGTGAATACTTAGTACCGGGAATTCAGTGAAGCAGAACGAAACCACCCTTAAACCCATAAAATCTCCAGCTTTCAGCAGTTTTGATGTATTCTAGTCAGTGTTTTGGTACGTCAAAAAAGTAATTATTCTCATATATGAAAAAAGAACAAAAACAAATACCAAATACTATATACAGTATGGATAAAAACAAATAACACCCACACAAAATCCTATTCACGTTATTTGATTCCACTTCGCGACAAGCTAGAATACGGCAAAAGGTTTCTATAATAGCTGGCGTAGACAGCATATTGGAATTTGGAAGGACTGAGAATTTTTGTAGGAAGAAGTGTAAAACTCTGAAAACAGAGTGAGGAAGAAAAAGCAAATCCTTGTTGATTACATCATGGCTCATGGAACTTTATGTTTAAAAAGGCCTAGCTGAAGCAGAAATTTAAACAACGCGAAATTTTAGGCGAAAAAAATCTATTTAATCTACATTTTATTCGGTTTCCAAGAAAAAAACGCACAAATAATTCTTAGTAGTGCTTTGCTTGATGAATGTTGGTTTTACTGGCTGAAGTAAACATAGTCAAGCTCGAAACAACTAAAGAACGTGTGTCCACAAATTAAAGCTAATGCTAATAGTGCTGAACTGGTTCAAAAACAAGAATTAACATTGTACTTACAGCATTCTTACATGAACGGACATTGTGCGCATAAGATGGTGAGATAAAGGTTGTAAGCGACCATAGGCAGATAGATCGTATGGAAAATCAACTTTCCCATTTTTTATTAATCGTGACCATAAAACTCCATGTTCCAGTTTCTGATTATCCTTTGCAGTTTCATTTGTCCAGAATATGTCTATCAACCTTTGTATTAACTGACTAACTTCATTATCTGTACTAACTAAAAACAAGAAATAGTTGTCGATTAGTAAGTTAGCATACATATCAAAATAAATAAATCATTCAGTCAGTCAGCTAGAACGTAGGACCAGGCACACATATGCATCGGTCCAAGTTGCCATACCTCGTTAGTACAACAAGGTGAACACTGGATTCATAGGAATAGTTAATTTAGTGGTGGTAGTATATAAAAGATAGGTTGTATATAAGGATATAATATAGGAAGGACGTTATGAAGCAATTTTAATCTTAAGGTTTAAGGGAAGATAAAGAGTGTATACACCTGCACCATTGTGATCGATTCTGAGCCATGTCACCGAGTCTCCAACCATTGGTTACGATAGACATTAGCGACAAATGATTCTTCACTTACTAATCACAACACAAGAGATAAAGAAAAATTATGCAAAGATATAGTTACAAAAGAATTTAAATTAATGAATTCACTTACAAGCATTTAGTACAACGAAAAGTTGGTTCCACGTCAACTTTGAAACTAAATGAACAGAACTATTAGATATTTGAGTAGAACTGACAGATTGTACTAGTGCTTGCATACGACGTGATATGCGGGATTCTATTGGTCTGAGTGCTGGTGGCATAACACGTGGCAAGTGATCTTGACCAAGTCGACTTTTACGTAAAACATGTTGCCAGAGGCAAACAGGAGCTGTAGCCAAATGCAAAAGTCGACCTTGGCGTTTCCAGCAAGCTGTAGAGGAGCGAAAATGGGGAGGAAGTAAACCTGATACAAAATAAATAAAAATGCATTGTTATATGACAAGTAAACCGCAATCAGTATTATTTTTTTAATATATGAATAATGTATTAAGATTTTACGGTAACATAGATACTGACTGTATACGGTGTCTACAGAACAATCTAGTATGAAATTAGTCTAATACTAATTATTTGTAGCGGTGTTTTTGAACTGATCAGTTAGTCTAGCTTATTTCTCTTCAATACCGACTTTCTGGTAAACATCATATGACAAAACATAAACCACATTAAACTACATGAGAACTAGAGTCCTATATTTCCGCAATATCGATTAAATGATTTCATTTGGAGGTATACACTTAGACCAACGCTCCATATTAATCCGGAAAGGATTTCCGGATGTGCACTCAGCATTTCAATTCATGTAGGAAAATGTGCATGAGAATAGTTCAGAAATAGAACTTTCCCATTGAATACTTCCAAATGGATGGCAAATGACGTAGGAATAAGTCATCCTCACGATTTTCCAGTCTTCATATTTTGACAAAATGGCTTGACATGAGCATACAGTACCATAGATGATAGACAAATCAAGATATAGTTTACGATAACAAAAACCTCAAAGTCCTTAAGCACCTCCTCATGAATCCGCATAAGAAATAACACATTCAGCCATTATTTTGTTGCTGTACTTAACCAGAAGTCTAAGGAACGACCGTGAGCAGTGGTGGGCAACGAAAGCGGCTGTAGGTAACACAAGACAGCTTTTCAAACTAATAAAGGAAACTGGAATAAAGAATTTAAGTGTAAGCGAGACAATCTCGGAAAAATACCAGTCTTATCTGCTTTCAGTTCAGACATTTAGAACGATGGGCGGAACACTTTAAAGGACAGTTTAGCTGGCCTTCAGCTACTCTACAGTTACCGACCATTCCCAAACAATCTGAATGGAACATTGAGGTAGGTCCCCCAACTCTAGCTTAGGTTCAAAAGGCTATAGCTCATCTGAAACGAGGAAAAGCATCTGGTCCAGACGGATTGGCTCGAGAGATCTTTGAGTATGGTGGTCTAATTTGAGCGATTAAGTTGACTAATATTTTATCTAAAATCTGAGAGTTGGACATGATCCTACCTGAGTGGTCACAATCTCTGATTGGCTTTTGCCAACTTACGTCACCTATGGTGAAGGAGAGATATCCGTCTTTCAATAAAAGAAAGAGTATACTGTGTGGTAGTTACTACCATTGAAGTAACTACTTCTCTGAATACGGTGTTCGTCTTGTTGTGCTAATGAGGTGTGGTAACTTAACCGATGCATATATGTGCCTGGTCCTACGTTGTAGCTAACTGACTGTATTCGTAAATCATTTGGGCTACCAGATATCCAGAGCAATCCTACACGGATCGTATGTTGTGCAAGGCTAGAAAGACATGTTATTGCAACGACACATCCGTTTGCACCAATCCAGTATTATATATATATATATATGCGTGACTTTTGTACATATATAGTCCGTCTTTGGAGAATAAATCTTTCTATGCACTTGTTGTCCCCTCCAGATTCGTATTCAGTGATGAGATACATCTAAGTGGTCAATGACGACAAGTCAATCACAGGTAGATGCATCTATATTAAAACCTGGGTATAAAACATTGGCGAGTGTTTTACTGTAGACAGTGACAGAAACGTCTGAGAAACTGAAGAGCTGTTTACGCTTCATTCATATACCAGCTACATTATGTTTGTCTTCGGTTTGGTGCTACCAGGCATTTTTCTCTTGATTTAAAGGCGATTCACTGGATAAAAATATGGTTTACATTTGTTTCTTAAAAAGATATCTCTCAGAATTTGCGTGCTTAAGTTTGGCGCTGATGCAGTAAAATCGCAACATACTATTAACGGGGTTAGTTCAACTCAATGAATGAAAAATTGAGATCACGAAAATATCACGTATATTACTCCGCATTGTCTTTATATCACGTACTTACTCAAATGATCTACTTGTTACAGTAAAAAATTTCGTAAAGACACGAACAATACTGAATAAACTAACATCTTATCCGCCATTAACGAAAGCAAAAACACAAGGATACAGCATAATGGACGAGAAAAACTGGCGAGAGATAATAAGCTAGACAACTGCTGAATGGTCTGCCTGAAAATCGTTCTCGATACTCATATTACGGTTGAAATGCACCTGAGTTACTGTTAGTCTCAATAAGGAGAGAAAAAAGACATGTTATAGCAACTCAGATACAATTGAGTTTGTTTACATCTAATTCAGCTAAGCCCTTTCGTTAACTTATTTAATGGACAGTCATTCATACAATAATAACTATTTATACCATTGTACTTTTATTATATACGCTTGAACATTGCTTACCGCCTACGCATGTATTCATTCCAATAGCATTATTATTAATCGCTTATTTGATCCGATGATTCATGCTTTTCCACTCATATATATATATATGTACATTTTTATCCTGTTTACGAACTACTTGCTCTCTGCTCCGCGCTACGCTACACCGTACTGTACACGCTTACTCATTCATTCGGCTCTACGGCACTGCTCTTTCATGCTTGCTTGACGTACCTGTAATATTGGATAACTGTGTGTGGTTCAGTAATAAGCACGATCAACTCTTCGTATTCGTCTTCTGATTTATACATCGTTAGGACGTTGTCGAGTAACGGTTAACAAGACGAACGACATACGAAGCTTAGGGATAGTACCGAATATCGACCAACACAATCTAATCAAGTCGGTCATGGATGTCACCAAAGCATCTCTCATGTATTTTTGAGCCGCCGAGTGAATAATGTTGATGTTAGGCACAAGGTACTGGGTAAAGACAGCAAATCAGTCGGTGAGATAGCCTACCTTCATCAACTGAGGTGACTGGTATGTGGCACGTATGCCCAACTATCAACTACCTTGACGGGCGATGTTATGTAATGTAGAAGAAGACTGGAATAAAATTAAGGGTAACCAAACTAGGACATGCCATCAGTCCATAAAGTTACAGATAATTGAACTGTGCCATGTCGGTGGTTGGGGTCTGAGCGATTATCGTAACACTGGTTAAAGACTGGACTAATTCAGGTGCACTCACTCTCTCTCTCTTCCCTTCGAATCCGAGTTCTGAAATCTCCTTGTGTTCTTTTTTAATCTCTTCTAATATCACTGGTTCGGTAATTATTTCTACTCCGAGATTTATCTTGGTTATTTTACCTCGCTGTGGTAATGCGGTAAGGTGACTTGAACCAATAGACATATTGTCCCGTTTTACGTTGCACATGACTAATTGACTAGGGTCAGCTACACAAGTTCTTTTCAAACCATACCTACTGAATCCCAATCAGCAGGAAGCCTAGGTTTATCGCTTCTTGTTGGCTATCTCCAATCACTTAATCTTGCCATAAGGTGCATGCGAGATCAACTCATTAAGGCTAGTGACCACATTTAAACCAATAAATAGACCACTTATTTTTTTTAAATCGTCAAAATAAGTTTATATTAGCGGTAGATTATCGTAAGATCTCTCAGGCTAAAAAACCTATCAAGAAAGGTATATAGCTATTCACTAAAGACAGCTTACTCTCGGTTTCATTCTGAATACATTCGTTGTCTGAATCCTCAGCAGAAGTGGAGCTTTGTTCTTGTACTTCATTTTCATTATCTCTATAGATAACAAGTTCACGATTGAGATCAGAGCTATCGATATCCATCTTTTTGGAGATAGGAAATTGAGAAACACTCAACTTAGTATTTTCTGTTGTACTACTTAGTTCTTTGCCTAAGATGTTTTTGGGCAGAACTCCATCTTTTTGTGTCAAACTAATCTCATTATCATTTGATTGACCAGTGGAATCTTTTCTACTACAGCATGGTATAGGAAGATCGATAGCTCGGTCAGGATCTTCAGCTTCAGGGAACAAAATATCGAAAAGCCGGAGGCAAGGGACGAAATCTGTTAACTAAAATATCAAAATTGCAGGTTTATAATCGTAATACATAAACCATGTGTATAAATTATAAGGTTGGATTACGGATTAATCATCTAAACCTTAATTTATATACGCTAACCAAACATTGGGTTTCATTCTTCAAGATACTACGAAATCTCCGGTCAATCGGTGAACCCCACTACAAATAATATACAGGTAAACAATAGTAAGGACTAAATAACAAGGTAAAATCTCGTGTATCAGACTAGAGAGGAATAGAGAGCTTGACTAACTATTATTATTAGACTGTCGTTTAGAAAAAAACACTAGGTAGCAATTTAGAGGAATCAAGGTGTCAAAACTTTAATGAACCCGAAACTGGTTAAATTTATTTATAGACAAACTTCCGAAAACTTTTATATCATACACACAAGTTAAAAAGGAGTTGTTTTCACTTGGAAACTAAACCATATAACACGAAATTCTTGTCAGAGTTGACCATATGCTGTTACCTTTGATTTGTTTATAAACTAGTATCAGTATTTTAAAAAACCTCAGTCAATCATAGTAAGCAAGGAAGGGATACATAATATCTAACTTCAGCTTAAACCTTAACGACTTTAAATAGCTGAAAGTAGGCATCGGTATATCTGTGTATAAAAATTCCTCACTTGTGAAGAAAGTACTAAATATACATTACAGTAAGACAGAGACTCTGGATACAGTAAGTGCTTCTAGTGTTAATACTGATAATTTGGTATTTTTAGAATAACTGAACACAAATAATCTCTGTCTCTCCAAATAAAATGTACCCAGGTCCTGGTACTAATTTGAATAATACAATATTGATTAGTATACTTAAAGGAACTGGAGTAGAATGCTTCACGTAATACACTTTAAACGTGTGATTCTGTAAATGAGAATCCGTTAGTCTATGTAGTGGATCAAAGTATTTGAGTGTTTCAGTGAACCATGAAACCCACTAACTACATATCTTGATGACCTATACCTTGTACTGAAGTGAGCTATGGAAGGTCTGAAAATCGCAATCTAAGACAAAATATTTCTTAAGCTTAGTTAAACAACACACATTAAACAAACGGTTTTTTGCTAATTAACCAAACTGGGAAAAACATGACATCTACCAACCATATTTTTTCCAATGAATCCTGAAGTAGCATTTAGCACGAACCACATTACATAATGGCTTGACTTAGTCCACGTACGACCTTCCAACTGCGAAATGGAAGAAAATGTATGCACGAAGACAACTTCAAATATCGTTAAAACAATAAGATATCTGATTATAAAAACAAGACAAATAGCATTCTGTGCATTAATAATTGTGCTAAACTTTTATGTTAATGTCAACTAAACATGTCTATATATCTACAAACAACACAAAAACTAAGACTTATGCATTGATGGTCAATATCATTCACTGTATGTAGGATAATAAAAATAATAATGCGCGACTTATTGGGATCTTTGTATCACAAGAGGAATCAAAATCCGGAGATTAAAGACGGACAATCCTTCGACATCATCTACATTTATAGCTGGCATAAGACGCTTATTAGCTCCTCCTGATTCATTTCCCTGGATATAAACAATGAAACTGGTGGTTTACTGGAAATAACTTCCTAAGAGGTATGAATATAGTATATTCAGACATTTAAGGGGTTAAATGCGATTCAGGATCACAGAAACAACGGTCGTTCTGTATATTCTTTTATCTTCAGTGTAAAAAGAAAGGTAAGTTAATATCTAACCAAAAGCTTTGTGACCTTACCTCTATGTAAGCTTATCTCTCATTGATAGTGATTTTTGAGTCTGTGAAAATTTTTCAACTCAGTCGGCTCGAGCATGTGTTACTTATGCCTAGTCACAGTCTACTTCGGAGCTCAATGACAGGATAGATGTACCTACATCCTAGTGTTTTTGTTCATACCGGAATATGACGAGACGCGTGTCTTGAGCTGCACTGAAGTTTGTTAAAAATTATGACTAAACAGAAACACTAGAGAAATCTGTTCAACATGCACATATGCCAAAAACAAATCCTCAATTATAGTCTTCAATGTCAACAACGAGAATATACAAACGCTTATTGGGGTTTAATTCTAAAAAGCCAAGTCAATAACAGCCTAAGCAGAAAATAAAACGCCTAGGTTTTCCACAAAAATTGCTCGACCAAATCGAGATGCAAAGTTTCACAAAATTGTGCTTACTTTTGAATTAAGTTTGACAACGATTTCATTAAATCTAACCGTACTGTTTAGCATGAAGGTAATCATGACACTTATTAAATGTTCGAATATTGTACGGTTCCACGTTTCGTCGTTTGTACATTCCAACAATTCCATAACCTGAACAATTAATTCAACCAACGCAAGTTCCAGGCCCACAGATCGGGTTTTCTTCCGTAGTATTTAGTTAGTGAGTAGCATTAAACGAAACAACACCAAAATGAAGGGGATATAAATTTTGAACCTAACTGAATCAGTATGTACTAATCCAAAATGCAATAATAATAATGTGCAACATACAACATACAGTGGTAGTGTACTAGCAATATACAACATACTTGTAAGTACAGGTTAGTATATTAATCAGGTGAGTCACTGAAGTTAAAGGGGGATGAAGAAACCAAATACACATTTTATTTAGGATTACAGGTTGAATCAGTGGTTAGGGTAGTGAGATCGATTTCTCCCTAAGATCTGTAAGAATACAGTAATTAAGTCCCTAACCACCTATATTTTGATGGATGGAAATACTTCTAAGAGTCAGTTTACTAGTTCAAATTTATGTAAGTTTTTTTACTTTTAGAACCACAGTCAAACAATTGTATTGATGTCTAGGTCTCATAAATCATTTCAACGCGATCTCGTAACTAGCATAGTATCTTTAAGACAAATAGTTGTGGCAGTAGTTCAGAAACTCGAATTAGCTGTCGGGTTATCAATCTGCAAATATCTTAATTCAGTTTAGACAGTTAGACAGTATTGTTGGACACCATACACTATATATAGCTTAGAGCCCAGTATGTCCGATAGTGACTCATGAATAATATTCGTTTCCGTAATTTTAGTTTGGAATGCACAAAACTCCAAATCACAATAGGTAATAAGTAGGTTGGGAGTATTCTTATTTCTCTTGTCAAATTTTCGGTCACTTATAATAAAATCACAAAATAGTTGTATGCATAATATTAATCCGGTAATAATTTAATTTTAACTCGGGCATCTTTCTATGTCCACATTTTTAAAACTTAAAATATGCAAATTTCAAAAACACAGAAAACCTACAACTTTTCCACTCGCAGGATCAAGCATTCCAGTTGTAAGTTCAAAACTTCGCAGCTGACCCAAAACTGTACACAAGAGAGGCAGCTGTGAGCTTGTAAGAAAGTCAGGATATCGCATAGCACCTTTGATAGAAGTCAAAACTAGATTAGAGGAATCCAGTCTATAGTTTGGAGCACTCAATGAGGTTATTCCACAGAAAGGAGTCATGGCATGGTAAACTAGAAAGACAAAAGGTTTTGTGTTAAAACTGATGCTTCAAATTTAGGTACATGTGAATATACTTGATAAGGCATTTTCCAATCATTTAAAACTACAAACCACTCTAACAGTCTTCAGCTTGAACCAACATTGTTAGTATACTTGAAAAACAGGGATATTAGATCAACCAGGTAAAACATACAATTTGGTTACCTAAGGATCTACAGAGCTTTTAAATTACCGTCAGTCGCAACTCAGTATATCCATGGAAAACGATAATTATTATTACTTAATACAAAACGTTCCTAAACCTTTTTACTAAAGGTGTTTTACTAGACGCAAATATTTACACAGGGGTAAATAAACGTACTTAGTTACTTCAAGAAAAATTAAAAACTCAAAAAGACTGTATTGGGGCAAGAAGTATGGAAACCTCGTTATTGTATCATAGAGTATGATGAAAAAGTGTAGAAAAATTACTTTATTAAACTTATAAGATTAAAGTATCTAATAGACACTTATCAATCACTCATTTAGTAACAAAGTAGATCCTGCTACACACCTACAAAGGTTCACGTTGCCATACTCCATGGCAAAGATAAAATTGTCAGGTCAAACCCCAGGTTAGTAGGGTTGCAGTATATGCTACCTATGTCTGTAGACATAAAGTGTGTAGCATCAGTCAGAAGAGGAATGCCAGATGACGCTGGGACTGCCATAACCTGGAAAAGCGTGGCCACAGATCCAAGTGATCATGGTATAGTTGCTGTCTTGAGTCAGTCTGATAGTGTTGGAATACGTGTATAGTGTCCCTACACCTACTGAACAGAAGTATACAGTTGTCGTAAAAAAGTGTTTAGTGATTGTGTGGGCAGTAGAAGAATGGAGACCACACCTACTTGGTAGATGATTTCACATTGAGGCTGATCATAGACCCCTACAGTGGTTAAAAACAGCAAAGAACCCTCATGGGAAGTTGACGTAATGGATGATACGTCTGCATGAGTGCGATTTCAGTATCTAGCATGATCTAGGAAAGGAAAATGTAGTAGCGAGCTACTTATCAAGGCCGGATATAGAAGTTGAGCTCCCACTGACAACATACGCAGTGAATAATCTAGGGGGAGAACTTGTCTGGTAGCAGAAGATTGACCCTAACCTTCGAGATGTAATTAGAGTGATAAAAGAAGGAGCAGAGACTGACAAACGGGTGATGGATGAGGAGGTAACAACGTTTCTTCGGCAGAAGGAAAGACTGAAGGTGAAAGTATACTGAACCCTGACTTGGTGGGATGATGACGAGAATCGGGTGGCGTTAATCTCGAAGAACTTGCGCATTAGATGATTCATGAGTGTCACCGGGTAGAGCATACAAGTACCGCAAGAAAAACGTATTTGCTACGACAAAGTGCATGCTCGTCAGGTATGGAAGACGATGTGGCCTAATACGTGTTAACTTGAAAGCGGTGCCAACTAATGAAAAGTGATAGATAAATAAATAAATACAACAACCATCACAGTCAGTCTCAGTAACTGCATTTGGTGATTTATGGTCTGTGGATGTAATGAGACTGTTTCCATAAACGGCAAGCGGTAACTAGTACCTACTAGTGACGACGGAACATGCTACGCATTGAGTAAACGCCATAGCCATTGCAGACCAGCGAGCAACAACAGTGACTTAAGTAGTAATCCAGCATATTGAGGCGGGTCAAGGAATACCGAGGTTGATGTTAACCGGCCAAGGTCCCTGTTTCGAAAGTGACAAGTCTCAAGTCCGTTTAGAGCAGTTTGGCATCAAGAGGATACGAACTATACCGCACCACAGAAAGAAACAACTGGATATTAAAGGGATGGTTCGCTTTTAAGAAAGAGTTGTCGTTAGTTTTGCTGACGCATCATGTCTCTATACAAGGAACGACCAAGAAGTCACCTTTCCTTTATGGTAGAGAACTGCGACTTTCATTACATAATAAGACCTGGTCAAAACAAAAGAGGTGGACGGCAACAAAGTTAAGGAAGAAGTGAGAGGCAATTAGGAATCTGAGAGGGCAACAAATATCAGGCACAAAGAAGATGAAACCGTAGAGAAAGAAGTCGAAGCCCTTTTCAGCGATCTGGCAAAGTATACAGAACGGGAATACATAAATAAGCAGAATATAAAAAATTATGAGGAATTCAGAAGCTTAGAATTTAGAAGACAAGGAATGAAAGCGACTGCACCATTCCAAACAACTTTGACCCATATCATTCAGTCTCTAGCCATTGGTTACGACAACCACGCAGACCACAACCAGGTAGTCTACACCTATTAACATGCCTCATTCCAGTTGCCAATGACTTCATGGACTGGTGCTATGTTTTGGTTTGGCCACTCCTAGCTCTTTCCATTCGTAGTTATCATTGGTCTGCTGCGCCGGCAACGTTGATCAGACTGTCCTGCCCTCCATCGCTGATGATGACTGACCCAGCTAACAAGGCGGAAGTCTATAAGGGACTCCGACTCCTGAAGCACCACAAATCGCAAGGACCATATGACTTACCTGTGACCCTTTTTAAAAATGGTCAGCTTCTAATTAAGGAACTGACTGAGTTGTTTACAATGATCTGGAAATTAGAGAGTGTTCCAACATTATGGGATGAGTCGATTGTTGTCCCTATCTTTAAAAAGTGTTCACGTCGTTTCTGCAACAACCATCGGGGGGTAAGTCTATTTCCGATTGCGTCCAAACTATTGGCTTCCGTCATACTTCGTAGATTGTTCAAAACCTGAGAAAGACTGACTCTGGAGGAGCAGATTGGTTTTCGTCCTGGTCAAGGATTTATTTGCTATATCTTCACTCTCCTTCAAATGTTAGAATACTGTCATACTTATTACAAGCCAAAAACCCTAGTGTTTCTTGATATTAGGGTCGCCTTCGATCCGTTGGACAGGACTGTTCTCCAGGATTGTCTATTGAAGAAGTGTGCCTGAGAAGTTTGTCATCTTGAAAGCCTTATATACTAACACCTCAGGTAGAGTGAGGGCATACAACCACATCTCTCTATTGTTCCTTTCAAGCAGTAGGGTTAGGTAGGGTTGCCTCACCTCACCATTCCTCCCCAACTTTGCCATCGATGATATTCTGGAAACAGCCCTGATGAGTGTAGGTAATGATGGTATGGATCTGTTGTCTGAAGAAAGACTTTTCGACCTTAAGTATGCGGATTATATTGTCTTACTGTGCGATGATACCCGATCCATACAGTCGCCACTTAATCAGCTGACAATCAGTGTCCGTAGGTATGGTATGTGCTTTGCACCTTCAAAGTGCAAAGTACTTTGACAGAACTGACAGGACCCTGATCCTGCAATCACCCTAGATAGTGAGCAGATAGAAGTAGTCGAGTAAGTGCTGGTGGTGGTGTGAGTGGTGAGACCGATTCGCGTATGGTGAAAGCCAGACCGGCCTATGCCAATCTGGGAAATCTTTGGCGCCTTCATAAACAGGACTGGGTTCTGTTGGACCTTCACAACTCGCTGGCTGGGGCCCTAGAGATGGTGCAACATAATGGCTTGAGACGATATCAGATATGGCTCAGAATAGAAGCCAGTGGCGATCCTGCTGTAATGTTTTCTACTTTTTCATAAAAATGAACGTGACTTCTGTAACTTAAATTATTCTTTCTAGTTGTATTTACCCTAAATGAACTGTTTCTCTCATTATTATTATTATTTCACCCTCATACACTAATCTCTGTTTATTGTTTTTCTCCTTATTACGAGCACTTTAAAGTCTCTATCTCATGGCCTCATTGTTATTGTGTGACGCATATGTATTTGGTACCCCCTTGTACCAATGTTTATGTATTCAAATAAATAAACAAATGAACCCCTAGTTTTCTTACAGTCCATTCCTATGCCAGTAGACACCGCTCTTCGAGGTAGACAGATTATACATACGCAACACATGTCCAAACCGCCTCAGCTGATGAAAATTTACTACCTCATCAATCTATTTGCCATCGTTACCTAGTGCTCTATTGTTAACCCAGACATTGCTTACTCGGTAATCCCAAAATACACGAGCAATGCTTCGAAGACACATATGATCGAATACTATTAACGTACGAATATCCTTCATTTTTAATGGCCATATTTCACACTCGTAAAGTGAGGCATAGGCATCTGTTGCTCAATGAACCCGTCCCTTGATTCAAAGATGGATATTTCGTCTACGCCACAAGTGACGCGAACTCCACCTGTAGCTTATCCAGGGCTACTTCTGGTCCCAAGCCCGAGTAAAGGAGGAAGGTTGGTTATGAGGTCGGCAACACCAGCCCACAGAAAACAATCTTGCTAAAATAATGCTAACCAGGATAAACAAATTAAATCATTTAAACTCTGCCCTCCAAGTTGAACGAAGAATTATGATGCTCCTCATGATGAAAGCCGAGCTTTTTCAGAAGTTACAAGGCCGATGCTGCTTCTAACAACCAGAGCAATAATTAACATAGGTACATGGAACGTCCGGACAATGTGGGAGACCGTGGTGGCCAATCAAATAGCTGTGGAAATGAGAAGATACAACCTGGCGGTTCTCGTAATCAACAAAACCTATTGGACCCAAGTTGGACAGAAAAGGTTAGATTTGAGATAGATGCTGCTGTGCTATGATCATAAAGAAAATGCTCAACACAGTAAGAAAGTTGCTCTGATGCCGTCTAATGAAGCACGTAAAGCACTCATAGGATGGGAATCTTATGGACACAGGATGGTCAAACATCATTCAAAACAAGAAGACAGCAACTAATAACAGTCGAACACAAGCAGAGAAAGTCAAGGCACGAACTGAGTACATAGAAGCAAACAAGCAAGTGAAGAGCAATAAAGCCGACAAGCAGAAATACATGTGCGCACTAGCAACGACGGAGGAAAAGGATGCAACATAAGGAAATATGATACAACTATATGACACAACGAAGAAACTGATAGGAAAATATAGTAAACACGAGAGACCGGTCAAAGACAAAGAAGGCGAGCCAATCACTGAAATTGAAGGACAGAGGAACAGATGGGTGGAACACTTCGAGGAACTCTTGAGTATGCCAGCTCCATTAAATCCATCGGACATCGAAGCAGCACCTAAAGACCTTCCATAGACGCCACTTCACCAACAATAGAATAAATCAGGATGGCCACCAGACAAATCAAGAATGGGAAAGCAGCAGGACCTGACAAGCCGAAGCACTAAAGTCAGACACAAAAGTACTTGCGAACATGCTCCATGTTCTGTTCAGGAAGATTTGAGAGGATAAACAAGTGACGAAAGACTGGAAAGAAGGATACCTCGTCAAGATTCCAAAGAAAGAAAATCCGAACAAGTGTGAGAGCTACAGAGGCATCACACTACTGGCAGAACCAGAATGGTTTTCAACAGCGTGTTGCTGAATCGGATAAAGGACTAAGTGGACGTCCAACTTCGAGATCAACAGGCTGAAGTCCGTAAGGATCGGTCATGCACAGATCAAATCGCATCACTACAGATCATCATTGAACAATCAATTGAATGGAACTCGTCACTATACATCAACTTCCTTGATTATGAAAAAGCAGTTGACAGTGTGGATAGGAGAACACTATGGAAACTTCCTCGACAATATGGAGTACCTGGGAAGATCGTCAACATCATACGGAATCCATACGACGGACTACACTGCAAAATCGTGCATGGAAGACGGCTGACAGATGCATTTCCAGTAAGGACCGGAGTCCCAAAAGGCTGCCTACTCTCCTCCTTTCTCTTTATTCTGGTACTTGACTCGATTATCAGGACTTATCAAAACATGCCACAGGAGGCACGGAATACAATGGACAGCTTGGATGTAACTAGACGATTTGGACTTCGTCGATCACCTGGCCATCCTATCCCATACACATCAACAAATGCAGGTCAAGACAAACTGTGGCAGAAGCCTCTACATCAGTAGGCCTCAACATACACAAGGGAAAAAGCAAGATCCTCGAATGCAACACAGTGAACACCAACCCAATCACACTTGATTGAGAAGCTCTGGAATAGGTGGAAACTCTCACCTGCATTGTCGGCATTATTGATGAACAAGGAGAATCTGATGTAGATGTAAAGGCGAGGATTGGCAAAGCTAGGACGGCATTTTTACAATTGAAGAACATATGCAACTCAAAACAACAATCAATCAGGACCGAAGTCAGAACCGTCAATACAAATGTCAAGACAGTTCTATTGTACGGAGCCGAAACTTGGAGAACTGCCACAACCATAATCGAAATGACAAGGGCATCTGTAAACAATTGTCTACACACGATACTCAATGTCCGTTTGCCAGATGCCATCAGCAACAGTCTATTGTAGGAGAGAACAAACCAGCTTCCATCTGAGGAGGAAACTAGGAAAAGACGTTAGAAGTGGATAAGACACACATTGAGGAAATCATCAAACTGCATCACGAGACAAGTACTAACTTGGATTCCTGAAGGGAAACGAAAAAGAGGAAGACCAAAGAACACACTGTGCCGAGAATTGGAAGCAGACATGAAGAGGATGAATAGCAGCTGGAAAAGATTGACCAACACAGATTTGGATGGGAAGTGCTAATGAGCAGCCTATGCTCCTACAAGAGGGGTAACATGCGTAAATAAGTACAAGTGACGCAAGTTGGTAAGAGTAAATCTAGTTTCCTGAATCCGTGCCGACGTTTCGTCAGACACTAGATCATCACGACTGATGAGACTCCAATGATATGTGAACCGGTCGATGTGTTTAACTGCTTCGTATCATCAATTCAGGTCCTGAAGCAAACTAATCCTAAAGTAACATTTTACATTAGGAGGAAGAACCGCATTCCAAACATGTTTGCATTGTTGGTTAAACTGGTCAGAAGTCTACATTTTGTCAGCGTATTCACCAAACAGAACTATATTATGTGTGTATTCTAGGTCAACGAGTGAATCGCCTAGTAGAAGACCAACATCTTAAGAGTCAGACGATGAAAGTTTTATTTCTGAGAGAATGTTAATAACAATGTTAAATAAAAATGAGGGAAGCGGACAACCCTGATAAATACTACTCGAAGTAACCGATTTCGATGACAGTTCTTCATAAGCACTGACTCAACCAGTAGTGTTCGAGTAAAGAGCCTGTACATGGTTAATGTACTTCTTTGGTGTCTCTCAATGACAGACAATCATAGAACCTCACGATCAACAAAGCCAATCGCCGACTTAAGGCCAAGGAATACAACTATAGTTATACGTCGAGAAGTATGTCTCAGGACCTGCCGAAGGATGAATATTTGGTCTATACATCCACGTACAGGTTTGAAACCAGCTAAGTTTTCCAGGTTCCCTCTTCCCGAGCTCTAGTTGGACTTCCAAGTATTCTAGAGGCTAATATTTTAGACATTATGTTAGTCAAAATGATTATACGCAACTAATGAACATACCCTACTAGTTGCTTTAATATCTATATCGCAGTCACCCATCCAAATTACCTAATACCTATCTTGAGGCTGGGTGTAAATATGACTCAGAATCACTATTTAAAAAAAGGGTTCATTTGCTTGACGAATTAGAGAATTTTAGACTTATAATCAGTGCTCTATCTGGATGACTACAACTACTAATCAGAAAGTCCGAAAAACTGTATTCTAGCTTAGGGGTTATCTAAGACCGATCCCAGATGAATCAATAAAATTATTAAAAACAGTCACGAAAACAAGGTTATCATGGAGCTTTTGAAAGGATAACTTGAGAAAGCTTCATCACAAACGGGTATATGAGCAGTTTCCTTTAAGGTTCACAGAATAACCACACTTGAACGTTGGTACAAAAAACTCTGAAAGTTACGTTCCAACAACAAATCATGCAGAATGACTAAAAAAGTGAACAGATTGTATATTAATGACTGCGAAGAGTAACTTGGTCCTAGAGAACTAATGTAGTCATTTGCAATAGATTTCAGCTTACTCTGAAATGAAACAGTACATGATTTCTGACAATAAACTGTCGTATTAGACGTACAAGTACAATTTTTCTAAGAACAAACTGTTGTTACTTGTGGAAAACGGCACAGATTCGGTTTCTTACGCAGGAAGTCTAGAAGTCTAACACGTAATATCAGTAGCGTTAACTATACAATAGTAAAGGAATGGAATTCTAACGAACATATGTCGAATACCTACGAAGCAATTTAGAAACATCTACACAAACAGGTGACTCGTTAAGAAAAACTACCAGCACTTTTCCCTTTTAAGTTACAAGATGATTACTTTACATAACGGATTCGTGGAATGTATATAGCCTTTACAATCAATGTGGAGTATAACGGAATATAAGAACATGTAGTTATTTGCTGAGTAAAGTGAGTAAAGTATAATTTGTAGACTTCGATTTAGAGTTTCTGAGTCAGAGAATGGTGTGAGAAAGTTGGGATTATGAAAAGTAATTCTCTAAGATATACTGGACTTAGCATGACTCAATACACTAAACCTGAAAATAATTACTAACCCCTCGAATACAGCAAGCGCGCAGGCCTTTTGAAACTGTCCATAAATTTGTTAAATTCTGTTTGGATAAACTACGAATGTAATTAAAATTATTCGGATTACCTGAGGAGCGTCGCCGAATTCGCTAGAAAAATTCCGAATTAGCTCATGCATAGCGAAGTAGGCAGGCATCAGGCATATCTCACGACACAAAAGTAGCTGTATTAACTGGAAAGACATAAAGTATGGGACAAACTAAACCTCTAATGAAGGGTCAATGGTATAAAACAAGTTGCGGTCGCAGAACATTTTCTCTGTAAACTGTGATGACTTTTCAATGCTTTTGTTAAAAACTTCACGGTTGCTCTTTACCGAACAATTAAACAAGTTTTGATGATTTACCTTGTAATCCAGAAAGAAAATGAGCTTTAGAAGAAGCTTAAATATGCACCGAAACAAGATGGGAGACTCCACACGCAGATGCTCTGAGCATACAAGTGAATGAGCGATTTCTCTGAAGAGTGAGATATAGTTAATTATACCTTGGTGCGAACATTGCCTTCTCAATTGCAAAGTCTATGCTCCAAAGAATTCGCATCACAATACGTTCGTGTTTTATACTGGCTAGCCTTGACATCAAACAGTCTAGTGCCCTGAACCTCTTGATTATGTCAACTATTAGCAGTCATAAGGTGTCTTACTGATTTTTGATTCAAAACCTCACTCCATAGTTTTTGTGACCTGATAACATCCATATTTGTTAAGCTCATTTCTTCATCGGATATCATACCACCAAGTGACTCTTCTAACATTACAGAGATCTGAAGATGAAGCATATATCACAAACTTACTGTCAATTCATTTATGAACCTATCTATTGCAATCACCGGATCATGTATCATTTCCAGTACTGAAAAGTCTATTCAATTCTTCGAAAAAACTTCAGAATCTGGGAGCTACCGAATTAATAAGTTGACTTTCTAGTTATTTACAAGAAAAACCGAAAGTCTAAAAAGCAAAAGGATCAACAAAGACAGTGATAGAACGAATGAGAATGTAAATATAACACCGGTGATACAAAATGAGGTGGAAGAAAAGACACGGCAAACTGACAGAAGTAAGACAAACCAACGTAAAGTCACACTCGTATAGCCGCGTTTAATATTCGATCTCCGATATGTAAGCACATAAATATATATATGAACACTCTGTGAAGAAAAGCGATTATTACTAAATCTTACCACTAGGATGCAACGATTTCATTGAATTACCTAGATAGATGAATCTCCAAACACCATGAAGACAGATAAAATTGTTCCACGAAGACGTGTATAGCAGTAAATAAATCCCCAAGATAAAGTTTCGTAAGTTTTTGACAATGGTGCAGACCTAATTGGTTTAACCGGACACAGTTCAGATGAAAGTGCTCCGTCACTCAACCTCATTAGATCACGAGGAGGTATACTGTACTACGTATCAATTTCAACTGTCTGCCAGCTCAGACCAAAGGCTTCTCGACAAATCGATAATCTTCCAAATATATCTTATAACCCACCTCATTTCTGACTTCCGATTTGACTCCTTTGGCATGCTTCGACCATAAAAGTGTTGCGTGTAAAGGCGTTGTCAAACTCCGAATACCCGTGGCATCTTAAGTGGTGATCCTGTAGCTGTAAATAATTCCCCAAAATCAATAGCTCATTAAGTGTTCGACATTGGATGCTGACCACGTTGTTTAAGTGGACTTGTTAAACTGAAGGCTTTCGGTCGTGTATCCGTACCAGATCACGTTACGAACCAGAGTGGGACACACCTCTGAGCTGAATATAAACGAACTGATAACAACGGCGCGTACAGGCAATACAAACATATAAGGAACACATGCACAAAAACAATAAGAGAAGACAGGCTTCAGTTCCAGACCAAGCTTATCGATAGATTCGTCTCCAATCCGAAAAGCTTGTTCAGTTATGCAGCTTCTCTTCGACAAGGCAAAACTGGAGTTTCCCAACTGCTTGGTCCTAATGGCCCGACCAACAACGACAGTGATGCCGCTAACCTTTTGGCTGAACATTACTCCCGGACATTCCAGCTGACCCACATCAACCATACTGACGAAAGCTTCACCTGCACCTGTACAGGACTTTCCGAAGTGGACCTGAGTGCTGACTTGGTGCTCCGTAAACTGCAGAACCTAAAAACAGACACTTCTCCTGGTCCGGACATGGTTCATTCGCTGTATTGAGGGAAGCAGCTTCAATCCTGACGACACCACTTAGCGTGATGTTTGCACACTCGCTAAGCAGAGGCAAACTACCGGAAATATGGAAGCTGGCCCACATCACACCAATTTTCAAAGGAGGTCGACGCAGTGAACCCTCAAGCTACCGACCAGTGGCCCTTCTCTCCATACCTTCAAAAATTATGGAATCCCTAGTATTCGACGGCATACTAGAACACTTTTCATCCTCAAAGTTCTTCTCGCCTCAACAGCATGGTTTCAGAAAAGGTCATTCTTGTATGACCAACCTGCTGACTGCGGTGGATAGATGGACAACCATCCTTGATCGCAAGGGGAAGGTTGACGTCATCTACCTGGACTTCTCGAAAGCTTTTGATAGGGTCAACCATGCATGTCTTATCAAGAAGCTTGGACGATTGGGAATGAAACCCCCTTTAATTGACTGGATCACTTCATACCTAGAAAACCGACATTTTAAGGTCAGGGTTAACTTCACTCTCTCTCAGTCTATGGAATGTCCTAGTGGGGTCCTCCAGGGTTCAATACTAAGACCTCTTCTCTTCTTGATTTATATTAACGATCTTCCTCAACAAGTTTCATCTGATTTATTGCTTTTTGCTGATGATGTGAAACTATGGAGAGAGATACGTAATCACAGTGATATACTAGTTCTGAAAAAGGACCTGACTCGACTTCAAAGTTGGGCAGACGACAACGGACTTACCTTCAACACTTCAAAGTGCAAGGTAGTCCATCTGAGACATGGTGCAGACTATAGTTATAACTTAGGTAACTCACCCCTAGAAGTTTCCCAAGTTGAAAAAGATTTAGGAGTGTTGGTAGCCTACGACCTGAAATCGTATGCGAACTGTGACAAAAACGCCTCTCAAGCAGACCTTGCACTGGTAACATTGAAGCGGATTTTTGGCCAGTTTGACGGTAGAACCTTTCACATAATCTTCAACAGTTTTATTCGTCCCCACTTAGAGTACGGAAACATAGTACTTCCTCCCTCCCTCCAAAAGGATAAGGTCACTCTGGAACGTATACAACGTAGAGCCACGAAATCAGTTCGGGGTCTCAAATTCAAACCTTGTGAAGAGCGCCTCAAATCACTTAACCTTTACCCGTTAGAGTATAGGCGTTTTAGAGGTGATCTTCTTATGACTTATAGTATCCTTAATACTTCTGGTCATCCCCTTAACTTCTTAAGCTTAGTCATAACACTAACCTCAGAGGCAACACCCAGAAATTGGAGACCCTACATAGCAGAACAGACTGCAGACACAACTTCTACTCCGTTAGAGTTGTCAAGTGCTGGAATTCGCTGCCGACTGAGCTAGTCCAAGCGACCTCCCAGGAGTCCTTTAAGAGAAAACTTGACTTATTCTTAAGGACTAAGGATAACATATTATTATGATTTACCAAATTCTTTTTTTCCCTCTATTATCGTTCATATACCTAGGTTCTTGCCTGGAGGTATTGGTGATCCACTGCTACCAGACACGGAAGCCCGTTAAGCGAAAGCTTCTTCTATTCCGTCCTCAACCATTTGAACCATTTGAACCTCCTACGTTCACTAGCCAGCTTAGAGCAAACGCTTCTCGATATATTGATAACGCGTCAAATGTATCTTTCCGATCTCCTCGCATCTGACTTCTGATTTCGATTGGTTGGTGAAAGTTTCGAATATAGGTGTTACTGGTTTATAGTTACAAAACTAGAAAACTAGTCGTATCTTCAATCCAGACGTGATTTGGTACACTAAACAGTAAATCATGACTTCTTGCCTTGTTGAAACATTATATTTCATTTTTAATCTTAGTTTTACATGTTGTGGTATTGTTTTCATTTTCTTGTACATTTTTTTCTCTCCCATTGGTATATTATATCTTCATTATGACGGAATAGATACCTATGCTTTTTAAGATTAAGACTCTTTCCCCTCCCACATTCCAATTCATGCCATTGTGGTCCAGCAATACAGAAGCCTGGTTCTGCCACGCAGAAGCTGACTTCTACGAGCACGGCAAGATAGTCCCATGTACACAATTCCGAGCAGTCGTGAAGGCACAGCTACGTCACACCTAATAAGTTTACTAGTGATGTTTCGAACTTAACGAAACTCTAAATTGAGCTATTTTTAAACGTAGAGGCCTAACCGATTGACAAAGAATAGACCAACTTTTCCACAACATCAAGCTGCAACGTGGCTCAGCAACACAAATGTTGCTACGTATGCGGCCTTTGACGAGGGTGTGTTTAGATAAAACGTCTTGTATAAGCCGTCTGTTTTACTTCACCGACGTAATGACGGAAGTTCGCTATCTCGTCGACACTGGCGCGGAAGTCAGCGTTCTTCCTGCTTATTCTGACGATCGACTACGTGAACCGGTATTCAACTTACAAACGGCAAACAAGAAATCGGTTTCCACATATGGTAAGCGATATGTAAATCTCAAAGTAAGTTTACGCAAGCCCTTACACTGAATTTTCGTTGTTGCGGTTGTTTTTATGCCAACCATAGATAGTCACCTGATACAGCACCATAATCTACTCATCGATAAGCGCGAACGGAGGTTAACAGATGGGAATGCTGATTTATCTTTTCGTGTAACTACCTCTCCTAATAATAGGCTGTCTGGACTTTTCGATTGCCCTTCTACACTACTAGGAGTCACAAGACTACGAACGACCGCCTGTCACTCACAAACAAACGGGTTTGTAGAATGCTTTCACCGACAGTTGAAAACCTCACTCCCAGATGCAACCGTCTCACAGTAGACCGACGCTCTTCCACTCATTCTCTGAGTATTCGTAACGCAGTGAAAGCTGACGTCGGATACACTGTAGTACAACTCATTTGTGAAACAACACTGCGACTTTCATGAGAATTCGTGGATCCTTCATCTTTAGTTTATATGGGTCTAAATTCTTACACGAGCATGCTCGTAAAGGCCATGCGTTCAGTTAAACCTGTTTCCACTCGGTCCTGTCTTTCAAAATGATACACATGTTTTCATACGTGAAGACTACTCACGATGACCTCTCAAATCGGTACTCTAAGTACCCTTTAAAATCCTTGATCGCAAACATAAACGTTATATCATCGATAAAAACGAATCCAACTATGACATCAGCACTGGCCGTCTTAAATCCGTGCATTTAGAAGGAGACTCTATTAATGTTTATTTTGCTTCGTAACAGTCAGACAACAGGAGCCTGAGAACTACAATACCCCGTCCGATCCTCAACATTCACCACAAAACTTGGCTGGCATCTCCCAAACGACCCAAAACACTAAGCTCTGGAAGAAGGGTAAGGTTTCCAGAATAGCTAAGCGACTACTGCACGTACGACGCATCATGAAATTTTGATTTATCTCACTTGTTTGTGTTCTTGTGTCAAAAACAGATATTTTTCTAATATACTCATATATGTGTAGTGTTTCGTTTTCTTAAAACACCCAAACAGCATTTATTATGCAAAATTCATCTTACCCTATGGCGTATTATCAATAAGCATGTTTACAAGTTTATTCACCTTTCACGGTCCGTTTTGTGTCTTTACACGTTTCTTTTCCCAGGAGAACTGTAAAAGATGAAAAAGCCAACGAAGAATACGATGAATAAATTTTTTATCTTACATCCTTTTCTTCATCGCTTTGTTGTACAATATAGCCTCTTATATTAGGCAAAGACAACCAGACGCTGATGAATATAGCAGGCCATCAAAAGAGCGCTCACTGACAACAAACCCGTTGGGCTTAAACTGTTGACGAGTTACTAGGAAGAGTGAGTTCTGATGGTTAGTAAATTCGCAGAATAAATAGTTCTGTGTCTTCGACACTGAATCCTGACCTAATTAGTTTTACTGGACATACCTAGCTGAAGGCGCATTGTCACTATCGATACAACA